ACGCGCTCCGGATAATGCCACACAGCTGGAGCTCGAGGTACTGCGCCGCATCACTCGCATCTACGCCGAGCTCAAGAATCAGCTGTGCGAAAAGAATCTCATTCGAATGCTGCCCACCATGAACATCCTGGACGATGAGCTGTCATCGGTCATCGAAAGTTTGCTGGACAAGTCGCTGGCGGGCATCTTCGAGGAGCATCTGCAAAAGAGTATACCCTACAACACGCTGGGCGTGGATCGCGTGCTCCTCGAGGAACTGCAGCTGATTGGACACTACTCGAAGCTGCTAGCCCAAAACTCGGCCAACTTCGACATTATGAACGATGTGAAGCGCTACATACGCGATGGAACCTCACAGCCGCTGGTCGTGTCGGGCGCCCGAGGGAGCGGTAAAAGTGTGCTGGTGTCCAAGATCATGGAGAATGTGCATCGATGGAAGCCGGAGGCACAGCTGGTCCTGAGGTGAGCCGAAAACGTCACCAGAGATGCCGTAACCTTTTAGGAGATATCTGTCAAGGTGCTTGATTGGTGCCTTGCTTCAATCTTATGGCCAAGCCACAGTAGCATCTTTGATTCTTATATCAGTGCATCAAGCAATCATTCATTCCATTCCGAAACCAAAGCTAAAAGATTTTTAGGTGTCTGATTTCTACACGCCTCTCAATTCAAGTCGATTAAATAATATATATTTATAAAATATCTTGGCTTTGATGGTTTCCGTCATGTAGGAAAAGCTTCTTAGCTTCGTAGATCCTAGTCCTATGGCCTCAAGCAGCAATATCTTAATGCCGAATATAAATTAATCTCTCATTCCGCAGATATGCCAATTTGAGCGCTCGCTCCTCGGACATCAGTTCGCTGTTCGGCTCGATAGCCAATCAGATGTCGGTGCTCGAGACGGGTCAACAATGTCAGGTGCCGCACGTAAGTAGAACAATGCACAGGTCGAAATCAGAGTACCACATTTAATGCTCACCCACAGACACTCGAGGCCTATGCAGAGGTCATCAAAGCGATATTGGTTAGACAGCAGCGCTTCTTTGTGTTAATCATTGACGGTTTGGATGAACTGCAGCGGGATGCGGCACTCGATTGGCTGCCGCTGCAGCTGGGTAGCTGCGGCAAGCTGATACTGACGGTCAGCGAGCGGGAGGAAGAGGAGGATGCCAGTGATCCATTTGATATGCTCGCCGCGCTGGCGCAGCTGGGCATTCCACAGCGCTGTTTCCTGCGTCTGCGCCAGTTCACCGAGCGCCAATGGCACGACATACTAAGCTCCGGCGGGGGCGATTTCTATGCAGCAAATGGAGCCCTCAAGCTGCCCGACGATTGGAAATCGTTGCACGGCAAGACGCCCTACCATGCCAAGTCGCTGTGGTGGCTCGCCTGGCTGGGCCACGTGGCGCAGCCAATTAGCGAGATTGGGGATATATCCAGCAAGATATTGCAGGTGCTGGAGACCAAGTTTGCGGCAGATCAAGTGGAGCTGATGCTGTTGATTGTGCGGCTGTCGCCATGGGGCATACGGGAGAGCGACTGCTTGGGCGTTTTTCAAAAGATCACACAACTGGAGGCGCAGGTCGTCTTCAAAATTTGGTCCAAGTTCTGCTGGCTGATGGGACCAATGCTTTTAAGTCTTAAGAATATTAGAATAGCGGACAGGAGCTTTGGACGCGCCGTCCTGTCGAGGTATGCGCAGAAGCAGTGGCTGGTACATGAAGCGCTGCGCGACTACTTCGATCGTCAGGACAGCGAGTTCAAAGGCAGCGCAGGCGTAAAAACGTAGGTCAAATTGCTGTCTCAAACTTCCGTAACTAACTTTATCCACTTGCAGCTACAACTACCAGAAGTACTTAAAACTGCCTTATCATCATTTCTGTGCGGTGATCGAGGATAACCCGGCGCCGCATAAGATCGACATACTCTTCAATTGTTTCTACTTTACGGACTTGCAGTGGATAGCCAACAAAGTGCATGCCACGGGCCCGGCGCATCTAATGCATGACATTCTACATGCCGAGTGGCTGGCTGGCAGCGAGGGTTCCACGGGCTATGTACATATAAACTTTTTGAAGCAATTTCTGGAGCGTTACCTCCACGAGCTTAGCTACGATGGCCAACAGTTCTATACGCTTATGAAGTACTATCTGAAAACACGCTTCAAGGAGTCCTCAACGCTCAAGGACGACGAGAAAATACGCTCCTGGTGGGAGTACACAAATGAGTTAGAGTTCGCCTTTCTTGAGATACTCAATGCCGATTTGGATGCCAATGACAATGAAAGTAACGAAGCCGAACCGGATGCCACTGCCACTCCAGCTGTCAGGGGCTACGATGTGCTAATGAATCTGCCGCAGCCGGGCTGCTATGTAGCGTCGCTGTGCACCGAGCGCGCTGAGATTTGCATCTGGGATGTGAAGAACTGTTGTCGCATTCGCGAGCTTCAGGGTATTCAGCAGCCCACAGCCATGTGCCCCGTGGGTAATTACGAGGCAGCTGTGCTGTGTCGTCGCGAGATTCGAGTCATCAATCTGGACGAGGGAAAGTTTAAGGTATGATTGAATATTAATTGTATATCAATATAATTCACATATATTATAATATGCTTACTATGTGCAGGTCACACTAAAGGGCGTGATGAACCAGAAGATGCCCTACTTCGGCCTGCACGATCAGAATCATTTGGTTTGTCTCTCACGCAATCGCATGTACGTGAATCTCATGAATCTGGAGTCGGGCGATTGTGTAACCACTTTCAAAGCGGGCGAGGATCGTTTTCTTAACTCGCTCCTCGTCTCCGGCGATGGACGGTGAGCAAGCGAAGAATATCTACGGCTTACCTTTCGGCTCATATTGAATTATTTACATTTTTAGAATTTTGGTTTGCGGCGATGAGACGCAGAAGCCATTTCCACTGCTCGTCTGGCATTTATCGCAGCGCAAACTGCTCTACGATCTGCGAATTCCGCATCATGACTTTGTCACTTCACTGTCGGCCATCACGCATGAAGGATCTTACGTTTGCGTGGTGGCCAAGGAGCTTAACGAACCAACAACGCCAAATTTCATTGTAGTCTATGATCTGCAGAGCGGCACCTTGTTCAAAAAGTGGAAGCCCAGCTGCAATACTGTAGCTCTGGCCATATCCCAGCTAAATGCCTGTGTCATTGCTGGCCTGGAGGATGCCAAGATATTGATATGGGATCTAGTTACAGGCAACTGCAAATGCACTCTCATTGGACACAATGCGCCTGTCACGTACTTGAAACTCGATCCACTGGGCAAAGTGCTGTTGTCCTTCGACAAGGAGGGACGGGACAGTGCAATACGGATGTGGGAGTTGAATACAGGTGGGAAGAGCCCTTTTAGTGTTAATGAACTCTTATATTATTTTATTGCTCTGGCTTGCAGCTAAGTCCTTGGCCGTCTTTAAGCCACCAGCACAGATCAGCACCTGTGAGATATTGCCAAATGGGGCATTTGTCGTACTCGCCCTCAAGGATCGCAACGATCTGCTAACACTCGCATTGAAGAACTATGGAGGCAGCTCTGCCAATGCTCTGGAGGATGACTGTGGCACCTTGTATGGAAATCCCGACAACCAGCACAAAGTTTTTAACTTAAGTAATTAAAAGTTGATACAGCTGCCTGAATCAATTAAACTTAGATATCATTATTCAAATTAAACAAGAAATTATAATTCCGAATTATATAAATATCACATATAAAATCTTCTCATGCATAATTCATTAGTTGTATGTAAAATTCTTAAAAAAAAAAAAAACAAAACAAAACTTACCAGATGTACAAAAGGCTAAAGAAATAACCAAAAGAAATTATAAATTAAAGATTCATTAAGTCATCTAGCTTTATTGTTGTTAATGTTGTTATCCGCTCTTAGGTGGTGGCAAATAGATACAGCAAATTCTTCGCGAACTGGATTATTTCAGTGCCGCCCAGCTTGGAGGTGCCATAAATACGGTCCACAAAAGTAATGGGTACCTCGGCTATGCTGAAATTATGCTGACGAGCACGCACCAACATTTCCATTTGGAAGACGTAGCCCTTAGAGACGCAGCTCGAAATGCACTTCTCCAGAACCGGTTTCTTGTACAGCCTAAAGGAGCCCGTCAAGTCACTGGCATTGGGTCGAAGCAACACCTGGGATAGATAGTTGGCACCACGCGAGATAAGTTTGCGTTTGAAATCCCAGCCGTAAACGCCGCCAGTGCCAGCATAACGAGTGCCAGAGACAATGTCATAGTCACCCGATTCCTGTAGCTTTATGAACTCGGGTATGAACTTGGGCTGCAAGGAAAGAGGCACGCGCGTATAAATTCTATTCAAACAGAAATAGCACACGTCTGTGCATCGGCTTTATCTATGCTCACATGATGACTCAAATCGGCATCGATGATAATAACAAAGTCGCCGGTCGCATGTTTTATTCCGTGTATGTAGGCAGTGCCTAGGCCCAGCTTGCCAGCTCGTGGACGTAATACAATTCTATCTTCACCATAGATCTGTTGCAAATCCTTGGCCACATCCAATGTGCCATCCGGACTACCATCGTCGATCACTATCACCTCGTAGTCGTAGCCGCTGAGAACACAATTGCTTTTATTTCAATTTTCCTGTTCGTCAGCATACGATCCCGTACTTACCTGGCTTTCATATATTTTACAATTAGCCATATAATAATTGGCAAATTGTCTTTTTCATTATATGTGGGCAGCAAAATGCTGTATTTATGGCCATTTGTTGGCATTTTGTTTTGCTTACACGAACACAAATAATTTAACAATCATTAGGGAAGTGTTCAATAAAAGAACTAGATCTTTCACTTTTCGTTCATACCACATATGTATACTATCGAACAGTATTGGTAAACACAGTTTGAACACAGCTGTTATTTATCGATATATCAACGCTATCAATAAACTGCACTAGCTGCAACTGTGCAAAAGCATTCCAACCATAGATACGGCGGTATGCACCGCTCTTTAATTTTAATTTAGTCTGTGCATAAAAAAACAGATGCTGCTAAAGGCACAATAGAGACTTCAATTAAGTTGATGTATATATATTGTAACTAACTTCACAATGGCCAAGAAAATTCCATTTAATGTGGTATTCGCTTCAGGTAAACACAACTTAAGTATTGTAGAATTGCCCTTTGCTTAAACAAATTAAGATTTACTTTCGTTTAATTTTGTTTCTTTATGTTTTATATTTTTATTTTAGTTATCATTTGCTATGCGCTAGTCCAGCGTTGAGCGCGCGCCATTTGGCTGCACTTGAGAAATCGATAAAAAATCACACATACGCCTAGTGCGACGCCTAATTAAACAACGTTTAAAGTAATTTCACTGAATAACAAAACATTTATTTAAACATACATCTATATATTGATCTAGAGTAACCATTAAACACAATTACCACTCTTTTATTTTTTAAGACATAAATTTTAGAATGCTTACTAACTGCAATAATGCATTTGAAATCTGCGATGGTCCTTGTTTGCGTTTATCTTCATTATATTGACAGATTGCGGTTTGTCATAATATGTTTGGCATGTCTGCAACGCATATCCAATTAAATATGCAGTCAAAGAATTCTATTGGCAACGAGCCAAGCGCGAAGCGCCAAGCCAATTGACGATTCAAATTGCCTCCGTTGCGCTTTAGAAAGTTTGTACGTTCCTTTTATTGTAGTCATTGTCGGGGAGCATCCCCATTATGTAGCCTCATAACCTTCACCAATTTGTATACCTAGTTGACGACCCTTTTTATGCAGATCTTTGCCTTCTGTACTTCAGCTTCGTTAGTAGCGAGCCCACAGGTCCAATTATGGTAAGGACGTAGACCAGTACTGTGGTTAGCATCAGGGCAGGTATGAATTCATGATCTACAACGCGTGTAAAGAACTTTGAATAGTAGCCCAGATAAATGGCAGCCATGCCAATCGTAAAGCTGAGCAGCCCAAAGAGGTTATGACGAAATCGTAGTTCAGAGGGTGGAAAACGTTTCAACGCAATTTTGGGTTGGAAAAAGTTTACCAGACCGCCAACGACACTCGCAGCGCACCCAAAGGCTGCGACCACACCTAAAAGTCAATTAAAATTATGTGTTTAGTGTTCATTGAAGTGTGAAATGTATGTGCACACGCACCGAATCTACCATGCCAGGTGTCAAGATGCACGTCCTTCTGGGAAAACTTGCCCAAAGCACCAAGCAGAACCATCGACCCACCGACCAGCTGCAGCAGGCCATGGAAACGGGATTTGTTCTTGTGCGAGAGCCAGCGGGTTATTGGGTTTACCTTGTAGTGTGACATCAATGCTTGGGCAATTAGTACGTGGAACTGCAAAACCAGAGGTATAAAGGTGACAAAATTAATGATAAGTAGTACAGCTAGTACTGTTTGCGATATGAAATCAATATGTATGGCGTTATTAGCTTATAGTTATGTTCTGTTATCAAAATTATTTCGTGTTACTTACACCAGTGCCAGTCATAAACATGTGCATGGCCGTATCCTTAAATTCCAGACTCCTGGCGAGTGTAAAGAAGAAGGCACCCACCAAGAAGATCAGCATATGATTTATACTATTTAATAAGCTTTCAATTTGCAGCATCCATGAGGACGACGTAGAAGAGGAGCTTCTTGTTTGCGGCATTTTGAAATCGGCCGAGAAGCAGTACACGTTCTGTTGTGCCTCAGGCTAAAAACGAAACTAAACTAATTCTCAGTGAGCTGCGCATATAAAGAGCGTCAGAACGAAGCACAGCCACGTAATCATTTCTGTTTGTATGTGTGATAGCGTCATTCTAAGTCCTCTCTTAATGTATTGTTTTTGTTTCAGTTAATTTATACATGAGCTTAAAAGCTAACGCTAAAGATAACAGCTGACATTTGTTTTGTTTAGAGATGTATCATATCGTTCAGTAAAAGTTCATTTGAATAGGTCATTAAAATGAACAATTGATCTAAATAGCTTGTATACAAGTCCCAGTAGAGATCATTCCTCAAGTTTGAAAATTATGTCTATAAAAACAGATTTTGTCAATCATGCATAACGCACTTCTGTTAATCATTTAACTTGCGATTATAGTTTCAAGCTCAATGTGATGTTCATTAGTGGTGAACTAACTGAACTTATCGATCAAAATGAACAAATGTTCCCAACTCAATATCTTAAACCACTTTACAATATTCGGCTTACCAACACTGTTAGTGTTAATCAATTGTTAATTGTGTTTTGGTTTCTTTTAGACGAAGACGCCGGCTTTCCAGCCAGCGAGTTGAACACACATGGTCCCACGGTACATGGCTGGCGCAGTGCTGTGGACAGCGGAGTCAGCACACACGACATCATATTGCGTTTCCACCAGCCGGCTAAAATTTACCGCATACAGCTTTTGGCCCACCAGTATTTGATACGTGAGTCCGGCTATTTGAATAGAAATCCTTTTACTTTGTAAGATCTGGCTATAAATAATTTGATCTTTCAGCCGAAAAAGTGGAGCTTTGGCTGCACTACTCCCCAAAGTCGATGCCTAGCACTCCGTCCTCACAATACTTTGATTTTCTTGGTTTTGTTGCGCTCGCCGACAATGCGAATACCAACTACAAATCGCGCGAGCTACAGAGCGTGACGGTGAACCCTAGGAGAGGGACGCACTTGAAGCTGCGTCTGATTGGCGCTCATTGCAATGAGTTTAACAGCACCCAACAGATTGCATTGATGGCGGTTAATGTGCTCGGCGAGGATTTGGAAACGGCCGCCCTCAGTGAGGGCGACGAGCACCTAGCCAGTGAGGCGGCACCTATAGACACGGCCACGGGTGAACTGGCACTAGCCTCCATATGCGATGATCTGCTATTTTCAATGTACGTGGAGGAGTCCATCGTGCAACACATACGCGAACTGGAGCAGCGCAAGCTGAAGGCAGTCAGCACAGAGAGATTCGAATATGCGCGCAAATTAAAGCTTTGCATGACGGCGCTGCGAACAGCGGGTGAACGCTTGGGTCGATATGCATTAGCGAAGCGGCAAGCGGTACAACAAGAAGACTTCAGTGCGGCCAAATTGCGCAAGGAACAGATCGAAATGTATCGCGCTTGCGTGCTCAAACAACTCCAAGTAGAGCAGCTACTCGAGAACGATGGGCCACTCAGCCAGAATGATCAGAGCTGCGAGATCTATGCGGGTGGGAAGCCCAGCCTGCCAGCTGCACCTAGCCTACAGGATGTGGCACACGCTTTGGCCGATGCTGTCATCAATCCCAAGTGCAGCAGCGTACAGCTTGAAAAGTCACCCAGCAATGAGGTTGCCATTGTTGCGCCCGTAGCTGCACTGCATCTGCATGCTAAATCTCACGATGAGTTGCCTCAATCGCCGCGCCTGCCCATGGCATCACGTCATAGCTCGCCCATGTCCAGTCGACAAGGATCGCTAAGAAGACGAAATAAAAGTGCACCGCGTAATTCTTACGAGGACTACGAGGAGCGAGCCATACCCACGCTGAGGCAGTAAGTTTTAATATAAGCAACAAATCAATCTGTAGCTATTGTTGTTGTTGTGGTTAGGAAGAAGTTTGCATGTGGCATGAGTTGGAAGCAGCACAACACAAACATAATAGTTATAGAAACGCCAAAGTAAAAGTAATTCTCGTCGATTTTTATGCTGCTTTTTTTATTTCTCCGTTTCCGTAAACGTTGTCTCGTTCCTTTACCATTAACTATTTAGCTCAAATACTAATGAATTTTTAAGGGAGTGTCAGGGCAATGCGCTGCTCGAAGCGGATCCCAATCGCAGCCGTTCGCGTCTCAATGATCGCGAGCGTCGACAAGCTGCGCTGCCCATATTGGTATTTGGCAGCGAGTTGGTAAGATTTGCTATCAAACTAACATTTATATCTATAGTAATCAGATTTGGTTTCTTTCAGGTTGAGCTATTCTATTCGCGACAGTTTCAGGATCGTGAGGATGGCTTAGTGCGCTTGCGCAGCTTTCTCAAGGAGCAGGAAGCAGTCGAGGTGGCAAGCAATGAGCATGCAGCCAGTCCCAACAAAGTGGCACGCAGCGCTGCTTTGCTGCTGCATCGTGCCGTTCGAGATGCTGTATACTCTGTGTTTAACCAGGCGACCGAAACAGTTCGGGTGCTGTTCCTGGAATATGTGCCCGGTCGGGTGTCGCCTAATGAGGTGGCTCGATGCGTGGATCGCCTTTTGCCTGAGCTACTGGCCAAGTCGGGTGATCCTTCGGCACGTTTACATACGTTGGCGCAGCACACCATACTCAGCATTGCCGCATGTCCACAGGTCGCCGAGCAGCACCTGGTGGCACCTGCGCTGTCGCGAAGCGTAGGCTCTGGCACGCACCAGCGCCTGGCCATGAGCCGGCTGCAAATGCTCGAACAGTTGGTGAATACACAGGGCATTAGCACGGATAAGCACAGCGGATTGACATGTCGCGCTCTGTCCGACTGTGGCTGCTCTGGCATACATCATCCAGCGGAGCCGGTACGCAAAGTGGCTGAACGTATACTGCTGCTCGTCTACAAGGTGAATCCACGACTTGTACGCAAGCAGCTGCCACCCGACGACGACATCACGCGTCGCAATCTGCTCTACCGCCAGCTTTTTACGGAGTTTGATAAACTAGACTTGGAACGCAAACAGGAGCTGCTTGAAGTGCACAATTCAGGCAATGATGCAGATTTAATGCAGCCCACAACCAGCACAGACGCATCGCGCTTATTGAAGAGCAAGAGCGGAATGACATTGGGTACGTCAGCTGTGGGCAATGGCTACGTCAGCTGCAATGGCAAACAGCAGTACAACGAGCAACTGAAGCGCTCCATGCAGTCGGCCACAAACTCACGCAAAGGATCTGCTACTAACTCCGAGTCCACTGAAGAGACGACACCAAAGATGTAAGCTCAATGAGTTCTTAATAAAAAGTCTCGTATTTAAGTTAACCTTTCATGATAGCAATTGCATGTTTTGTGGCTGGTGCTGCACTGGGAGTGATGCCAGCCAACTGGATCGTCACTATTGGAAAGCTTGCCCCTTTCTCACCAAGTGCCCACAGTGTAGTCAGGTGCTGGAGGTAGCTGCGCTCAACTATCATTTAACTAGTAAGCTTTGTTGCTATGCTATGTAAAACCTGATTCACTATTTTCCTCTTTCTGCAACTGCAGCGGAATGCGAAGCCAAGGAAAGTTATGTGGTCTGCACACGCTGCACGGAGTCGGTGCATAAGCAGCTTTACGAGCTACATCAAATGGAGGACTTTTGTCGTGGTATTTTATAATATGTTAACTGAAGTTGGTAGTTCAATTTTTTTATATATTTATTTGTCTACTTTAAGAACTAAAAACGGGTGCCGCTCGCTGTCCACTTTGCCATGATGATGTGCATCTGCCATTGGACGGCGGTTGGAAATTGCATCTATTAAGCGCAGGCGGATGTCCAGGCAATATACGTAAACGGAATTTAAAGAAATCAAACTAAACAAATACCTTACGACACAAGTCACCAATAACTGAACTATCTTTCGATTATAAGGTAGATCATTTATGACAAGCCAACTATTAAGGCCATTAGCGTAATTTAAAGTAATTTTTGTTACACACAGATTCAATTTAGGCACATTTTGTTACAGGACTTGGTGTTAAGTTCAACATTATTTATTATTTACATTTTGTTACACTTTATACGAGTATATATGTTTTCTACGCAATGTGATTTGTTAACTATACATAAACACGAATTTCTAAACGTCCCACAATAATAAAGCCAATCAACTGAAATTTTGAATTTGAATTTGAATTTACATTTAAAAAGTGCGCTAATAATCGATATTTTTAAGGCGTTTTGGTCAGAGCTGGCAGCACTTTTACAGCAGTATCGAGTGCATAGCTTAAAAAGTGTAATTTTTCAGTTAGTAAAAAGAAGATAAATAGAAGTACAAATTTGTACAAAAATAAATTTTATAAATAAAAAAATATAATTACCTACTCCAAAAATATGAGCTCATCAACAATGTTTCAGTTTAAATTTAAATTTGTAAATTCCGCCAAAATTCGATAAATTAGTTTACATTCGGTGCTTGACAGCACTGGCAGTAGATTGAGCTGGCAGCACTGTTGTCGCAGCAATAAGTGCCACCTTTTCATGAGGCAATTAATTGACACTTAACACTCGCGTATTGTTACATTGTGTTAATATGTATAAGTAAAAATTTGTTGATAAATATAAATTTAATAAATAATAGATATAAATACGATCTCCATAAAGGAGAATGCGTCAAAGTGTTTTGAAAACCAACCCCCTAACCAGCTGAGAGTGTATGTGTGCTAGTGTGCGTCAGTAATCTAGTGTATATAAATGCGTGTGCGCGTGTATGTGTGTATGAAGCGTGAAAAAACAGCCGGCAAAGTTTTTTGTTTTCGCATGTGGAATAATAGCAAACTGTGCACGCTCTTAAATTGACCGTTTGCCTTGGTTCTGTGTGTGTTGTAGCCAGTAAAAGCAAATCTATCGTGCAAACCAGTTAACGATGCGCTGAGCATTGACAATTAACGTAAAAGCCACTGCCGCCATTCAGTCAATTGTCACAACAACAACAACATCAATTATTAGGATAGTGGCACGTTGCTGCCGTGTTTTCCCTGTTAGATTAAATCATATATATCTGATACGTATGTACATATAAGAGAGAATCTCTTTGAGTAAAATAGCCAACGGGGCACGTGCGTTACGCCTTGAACATACATAAAGATGCAGCGAATCTGGCGATTGCTGCACTGGCGGTACCTGACACGGGAGCAAATCAAAGGCTTTGACAATTACAAGGTAGGAGTGGCAGGGGTAGGATTCGCGCTCATAAATCTAATGTCTTCTTCTTTATATATGGATACAGTACAGCGCCATAGACACGTCGCCGCTCAGCCAACATGTAATGCATCCATTTTGGGATTGGCTGGTCAAGGTGAGTGCAGACAGCAACAGCAACAGCAACAGCAACGGCAACCACAACAACAAATGAAAGAAAATCAATAATCATAATAACGTACGTGTTCTTTGCTCATGCAGTTCTTCCCGCGCTGGTTTGCGCCTAATCTGATGACCTTTCTGGGCTTCCTGTTTAGCGTGATGAATCTGGTGCTGCTCTCCTACTATGATTGGAATTTCGAGGCCAGTTCGGGTGAGGAGGGTACGACACCGATACCCAAATGGGTTTGGTTGAGCGCTGCAATCAACATATTTGTTGCGTACACGCTGGATGGCATTGACGGCAAACAGGCGCGTCGCATTGGTCTGTCGGGTCCGCTGGGCGAACTGTTTGATCATGGTCTGGACTCCTATACGGCCATGATTATACCCACATGTCTGTACAGTATCTTTGGACGCAGCAGGGTCTATTCGGTGCGGCCGATGCGAATGTATTACGTTTGCTTAACGGTCTATTTCAATTTCTTTGTGTCGCACTGGGAGAAATACAACACGGGCATATTGTATCTGCCGTGGGGCTATGATCTCAGCATGTGGGGCAGCACAGCCATGTACATGTTCACGTGGTGGGCGGGCTTCGAGCGTTGGAAATTCGAGCTGCCCTTGGGCTCGCTCGGTACTCTGCCGTTGGGCAATGTCATGGAAGCTGTGCTGCATGTCAGTGCCATGGCCAATCTACCTCTTGTAATTCTCAATGTCTACAAGTAAGGAACACTCACATCCCATGCAGAAACTTAACAATAAATTTGTGTTTGGTTTGGTTTGCATTTACAGCTCATACGCCCAGCGCACCGGCCGGCTGCTGTCAGCATGGGAGGCACTGCGTCCGATGTGGCCATTCGTGACCTACTTTGTGCTGCTCTTGGTCTGGCCATTTCTGTCGCCCAATGATATTATGGAAAGAGATCCGCGCGCCATGTTCATGCTCAGTGGCACAATCTTCTCCAACGTCAGCGTAAGTTTCTTATCTTTTCTTATCTCTGCATACTATTGGGAAAGCGCTACACATATTTGGCCTTAAGACTTCAAACTATTTAGTTGCATATTGTTTACTGTTAAGAATTGCTATTATCATGACCGCCTCGAACACTTGTTGGGTCATTAGCGACCTAATAGTCTCCCCGTACCACCCCTCCCTCCCTCATCGAGTGCCAAATATCGGCTGCTATCGGCCGTAACAACTGACTCAGTTTAGATATGGAGTGGCGTGGTTTATATTCGTCATTTCAAGGGGGTTTTGCTTTGCAACTAGAACAGCTCAGCGTAGCTGAAAGCAAAAACAGCGAAATGAGTATTTGCACATGTTTAATAATATTAGCCGGGCTTTTACGGCCACAATCTGTCATTTATGTATATATAATTCTGTTTTTATTGAACATGGGTACAGTAGAGGCTAACCACATATAGCTTCGATCCAGCTCTGGGCTAGAGACTTGTCTGAAACTTAAAATATTCTTAGATTTTCGTGTTTTTAACCAGCTGTAAAGAAAGACAAGTATTTTGCATCTATGCTCAAGTAAACGAACATATATCAAAAATATATAGTATATAGTCGGGTTAAACTGTTTAGGAACAACAGTTTAGGAACTGGAACTCAAATTTGTACACCACCATCGGGTTTTACTGTGTGAAGCTTGGTATAGATTCTGTTGTATGTTGAGCTTTATTAGAGCTGAAGACTTGGCAAATCGTTAGCAATAAATTCAACAGTTTTACAGCTATTTGTACCTGTCGTCCTTCCCGGACTGTATAAGAATTCTATATGGACGTGGCAAATCTAGCTTGAGATATTGGAGCATTTTACATGTGGAACACTGTTGAGTTTCTTTTTATATATTTTTATAAATTATATGATCCGGCCATTGAGGCGATTATTATTAGACTTGCTCATTGATTAGCTATAAGCAACGATTAGATCTTCGAAATTTCACCCAGATGATGTTTATTAACGATTCTAATTGCCTATTGATGAAATATTTACTTTTTTTAATTTAGTTTCTCGCTGGGTATTGTTAGAGTAACTCTATAAGTATATAAACCATACTTCAGCTAGCTCTTCTCAAGCTGAAAGCATTCTTTAAAGATCAGTTAAATCGTATACATTTTAACATTCCGGAATATAAAGATTCTAAAGGGTTCAGAATTGTATAAATGTGTTATTATATAGAATTATAATACCCATAATATATCAGACACATATGCAGCCCACATTTGCTTCTGTTTTTATACGCTGAATCCATTGAAAATGTGAAAATGTATGCAACAGGCCGAGGACGGCGTGGCAAGCCCATAAGTCATTCCATTTCCTTATCGATAGAAGCCGTTTTTAAGCGTACTTTGAATACCGAAATTGCTGGATACTTCAGATGTTCCGCATAGGTCCCTGTAATGAATACAAGGTTTTTTATAATTCCCCAAAAATTCGCAGAAAAAGTATGTCAAATCCAGAGACTTGTGCTTTGGTAAATACACGCACATAGATCTGTGCGTGGGCACAGAAGTCTGTAGGGTCCAGGGTATCTCGGGAAGTTCTGACTAAACTTTTGCTTTTAATTGTTGTTGCTTGGAAATTTATTTTATTTACTTTATACATGAGTTTTTTGCAACGACATCATATGGAGCGCATAATGTAAGGCATTTTGGTGCATCTATGTCTATCAACAGCTGCTCTAAGGATATACTGATAATCACACAATCAGAGCAGCAGTCAGACGTCAGTTTATGCAGTGTCAAATTCTCAGCTTTGAAAACAATATTAACAGTCAGAAGTAAAACATTTGAGAGAAAATTTGAGCGATATGCCACCTTTTTGCTGTGGTGGTCGGCGTTGCGCTGCAGACTTGGAGAAAAATAACTTTGACGGTACCGATGAGCAGTCAAAGGCATCGCCGATCACGGTGACCGAAGCGGAGACGCCGCTGACCCTCAAGTTCTATGCCCGCCATGATTGGCCCTATTTCCGTTGCACCGATGAGGAGATTCGGCGCATGCGTGAAAAGTTCGACAAGAAGGGTCCGGAGATCAATGTTCCGGCGGAAGATGGAACCGTCGCAAAGTACGAGCCGAAGCACCCCACAGCGCAGCCAATGACTGCGAATCAAATTTATGGCTGGTATCACCATCGAGCCTTTCAGTACAAGGCCAAGGATCGTGGTATCTTTGTATTTCCACGCGAAAGTGATCCCCTGATTAAGCTGATCCTGGAAACCAATTTAATGACGGTTGCTAAACCAAAGTCCTAGATATGAGTATCTACATTAAATTAGGCAGATGCGCATTGGCCAATATAATGCACATAGACATATCTACCTGGACAGCACACTGAGCAAAATCTAGTTATTATTGAACCTTCATTGTTGGATTATACCTAAAAAAAAACAGAGAACTTATTCTGTCTTTTTTCCTTGTTTTTGCTTTTCTGGCCTGTCCAACTACTATTCGTTATATCTTGAACTTATCTGCGAGGAGCCACCTCATCTCGTGCCATCTATCTGCATGAGTTTGCATTCAAAGAAAGTCGCATCTAGTGGAATAAGCTTCCGTTGATAGTTCAGCTGTATGAGTCAAGGTTGAGTAGGAGTCATGCTATAGTAGAGTAGCTGCTTAGCTTTCCATTCGGTTCACATGGAATCAGTTTGAAATGTGTTTGGCTATTGCAGAAGGAGCCAAGTTGAGCTGATATATCAATCGCAGAACAAAGGACTTGGACTATTTAATAATTCTTATTTTACCATTTCCTGATTTTCGGCGATTTTATGGGTTCGATTTTGAGAATTGGGCTTGAAGGAAGGACCTAGAGTCACCAAGAGGTATCTGCTAAATTTACTAGATTTCTAATATCAATCTCTACCAGAAGCTGCTCAGCTCGTCAGCCTAATCATTAGTCGACTCAAACCTTATTCCAATGTCTCCGCCTCTAAGCAATACAAAAAGTTTGAAATTCGAAAGGACGTATTTTGAAGCAACAGTAGTCCGGTTCTAATCAATCGTTTTCATAGTCAGTGAACGATCCTAAAGAACTAAACATCACAGTTTCCCATTCTAAATTTCTAATTTTTAATTTTTTATACGCTTTGATTGAGATTTTTGAGAGGTTTTAAGTGGAAAGTGTTAGACCATGCCAAGACATCGTCGTCGTCGTTGGCGCCGTACCACAGATTTACCCTCTGATGTCAACGGCGGATTAGTTAAGACTCTGGAAGTAGTTGCTGACGGTCCGCTGACCTTCAAGTTCTACGCCCGACACGATTGGCCGTACTTCAACTGCAGCGATGAGAAGCTTCAGGAGATGCGTGAAAAGCACCGTAGGGATCTACTGCCAGAAGCAAATTCGAATGTTGTAGCCAAGCCATCGGCCATTTCAGTCAGCCCGCCTGCAGCGAGGCATGTCAGAACGCGTCCCATGACTGAGAACCAAATGTATGGCTGGTATCAGCAGCGCTTATGAGTGCTTGAAAGAGGATGGCGGCGTCTCCAAGATGCTTGAGAATGAACACCAAAGACATCGATTGGATGGCTAAGGAGAGGTTGCTTGATGATAGAACTTCTTTTCTAAATTGCTGTTTTTGTTTTATATTTTTTATTGCAGTGTGTTAATTAGTCGTAATAAATCTTTGTGCTAAAATGTATTCCTTAATTTATAGCTTAACTTATGGCTTTTCAATTGCAGTGCCGTCTAATTGTGTCGCAAATGTCCGTGACGCGGTGCGAGGCCTGGCACTGGCAGACGCCTATGTTCGTGATGTCGCTGTTGGCGAGCCTGTGGCTGCCCTCGCTGGAACGGCCGCTGCTCTACACGCTGCTGATTGTGACCACATTGACCCATTGGCACTACGGCGCCAGTGTCGTGAATCAGATGTGTGAGCACTTCAATCGGGTTTGCTTTACAGTGCATAAACGAGTGACGCATCTGGAATGGCAGCAGCAGGAGCAGCAGAAGTCGCTGCAGGATCATCATACGGAGCAGTCGGGGACCACAGTGAAACAGGATTAGGCTACAAATTGGCTGTGCTTTATAGCAAAAATATGTTATTCATGAGCGAATTAACTATTTCGGATGTGCTTCGACCACTTGGAGGCTTTTTCATGTCAAATCACGTGAGATGTGAGATTATACACATATATATATATATAATATATATATATATATGTATATGTATATGTATATTTATATGTATGTATGTATACATTTGTTCTAGTTAGCGCTTCTTTAACAACAACAAAAAATGCTCAGGTAACAAGAAACAAAAGTTTGCTTAGGTTGGGCTAGACACGATCTATAATCAATACACACTAAACGAAGTATTCTAAAAATTGATTGTATTATTCCTTTTAGTATCTTTTAGTGGCCGCTTGCCATCATTTAATGCAATTTGAACCCATGACATTGAAATCATCTATCTTAATTTTAATTTAGATTTTGATTTTGATTTTCATTTTCATTTCCATTTTCACATCTGTTTTACATCACAGACAATTTGCAAAACAACAAAACAGAAACAGAAATGACGCTCGCTTCCTATATTCTAAATTTGTTCATATGCGTAATCGTAAACTGTATACTTCAATTTATATAGATATATATCTAATGGCATACCTTACATGTGCTTAATTTATTTTGTATTATTTTTATATTGTTTTAGCTTAAATTGTGCGAAAAAGCAAATTGAAATTCATGCAATTCTTAACTAAGATATAACCGCCAAGACCTCTAATTATTTAAATGCATACTATGTAATTATTATTTAAAAGCAACACAGACATATGTAAACCTTAACTATGGATGCTTAATTATATATATACAGACACACACACATATATATATATATTTAACTGTAAATGTCGCTTCCCTATCCTTGAAAACTGTGCAAACACACAAAAGACAACAACCACTTAAGAAATAAATTTACATTTTAGAAAACGCAAATTACAATTCAAGTGCTAAGTGTTTCAAATGAGTTCTGTGAGTCGGCTGTGAATCTCGATTGCAGATCGGACGGCGAACATTTAGCAACATCTGAAAGCAAATTAGTTTACACGCAAAAAAATGAAATGAAATAAAATAATTATAGTCCGACGAGATCGACCGGCAGATGCCGATGGCGATGCAGAAGCAACAGGAGAAGCAACTCTTCGAATCGCTGCGCTAATCTGATAGATAAATAAAGTTAATTGGAAGTCTTCTTCTACTGAATTGAATCTATTTAATTGGTTTATTGATGCGTAGAAACTGCACCTCTAATAGAGTCCCCACGACTGCCCTGCCAGCCGGTTTGCACAGCTGTCAACCAGATGTCGATCAATTTTGAGTACGTGCTCGGCCGATTAGCTGGATATCAAAATACTTCCTCATTGCCTAATTGGTGTGAAAATCTAATACACAGACCACTGTGCGCAATTGGAGAACCCAAAACTGTCCCCCTTCCCTTCTTCCACTTCAAGTGGGCAAAAAGCAAACATTACGCGGTCGCAGCAGCAGCAGCGCGGGTGGCAGCGGGAGGCAGCGTCGACGTCGACGTACGCAAGTCACGCAGACGAAATGGGCACGACAACAACAACAATGATGTCTCCAATACACACGACTAAATAAAAGCACAACAATGACCAACAACAACAACAACGTTGACAGAAAACCAGAACGAGAACCAGATGCAAAAGAAAGCAACAAAGCAGCGACGTCGACAGCGGCAGAATATGAAAGTTGCGCATGCGCCGATGCCGACGCCGACGTAGACGTCGACGTCGACGTCGATATTAGAGCAGTTGTTGCTGTCTTTTAATCAGTTGCGAGGCAGACGCGCGCGAGCTAAGAACGTAGAATTTATTGAGCGGCTGTTAAATCTCTTACTCCAGACTCCAGAAGATTGCCTTAGATATGATTTGGAAGACTTTCACGCAGCTGCAGCTGCTGCTGCTGTTGCAACTGCAGCTTGGCGCATTAGCGTTTGCGTCAAAGTCGTCATATTTGCAGAAGAGCACAACCGAAATGCCGCCCACTAGCAGTCAGAGTCAGAGTCAAAGTCAGACGCCAGTTACTATAGCGGAGGAACATTTTCCAGCTGTGGCACCGCCGCAGGCAGCGGAAATTGCAGCGAATGAAGCGGAGACAGGCCTGTTGCAACCACCACTGTTGCCCATTGTGGATAGTGAGGATGGACTTCGTCGACGCGTAGTTACCTACGATCAGCGGCAGGAGGGTCAATATAACATACGTGGCGATCTGGAAAACTTTATGATACTTGTGATTCCATCCGCTGCGCAGGACAGTCTCAGTCTCTTGGACTTTTTAAGCAAATCGGCCATGCGTGGCGGCTCGAAGAGTAGCAACAGACGTAAACAGGCGTCGGCCCTAAAGTCCTTCTACCAGCGACAGCAACTGCAGCGCCAGCATCAACAGCAGCAGCTACTTCAGCAGATTCCCCAGTCGGGATTACCTGGCGGTCTGCCCGAATTTATTGAGGGACGCACGCCGTACCATGTGGACATCTCTGCAGCCGGCGAAGAGCTGCTACAGCAACAGCAGCATCCACGTCTGCATCGACAGCAGGTGGATGTTTTGCCACCTCAGCTGATTCCCATGCCGCAGCTGATAAAGCCATATCACCTGGAAGCGGAGCCGGAACTTATACAAGCGTTGCCCCCCGTTCCAGCCAGCAGTAGCAGCAGCAGCGGCAGCGGAAGCGGTGCCAATAATCTTCTTGAAGGCTTCAACCAGGCGGGCTCTCAGTATTATCGCAATTCACGCTCGCTACGCGGCCAAAGCTTCTTGGACACCAACCGCCTGCCGGGCGAATCTATGGCCAGCTCTAATGCACGCGCCATTAGTGTGCCGCTGTACCGCGCCGATATCGCCCGTGGCCAAACGCAGAAAGGCAATGCCAACGTCTTGTACCCACCCATCGATGTGCCTGCCTATATAATTAACGAGGCACAGCCGCGCAACTGGCAGCTGAGTGAGGAACCCACACCGATACAGCCCAAGCATCTGATCGATGGAGAAGCTCTGCTCAGTTTCGAGCTACTTGGCGATGCTTTGGCTGACTCGAAGACCCTATTACGCGACGGCCTGGCACGCTGTGCCCCGGGACAGCGACGCGATAGCTATGGAGCCTGCCGCCAGGTTGAGGGATACTGAGACTGAGACTCTTTCCAGACTGCTTAACGAAAGCGCACATATGTATTAGGCTAAGCATCGCAATAAATGATTAGGCATTAGACTTAAGTTTCACACTTATACACAATAAATTTAAAAATAAAATAAATTTAAATAATATTAAAAAACTGAAAAGAAATTGCAATTCAAATTAAGCGCCAAGCGGTTATGTTAAAGGGCAATGTTAATCCTAACATTGCTGTAAGGGCAAAGGCGCAGCGAACTGTTAATAGCCAATGTTAAGGCTCTGCTGTTGCGAATCCCACGAAAGCACAACTGACTTGAGTATGCTACCTGTTTAACGGTACTCCTATTGGTGCAAGGGCAAGCACCGCTTTACGTGGCAATTGATAGTGTTTAGCCTAGCATTGCTGCATTGAAACCGGAAGCCAGCGTGACAGAACGTCAAAAATGAATGTAACGGTAATGATGCGCTGAAGGATAAATCAAGTTGAATGTGAAGTTCATCTGTCATCAAGGGGCTAGCAAAAAGTAAATAGCGATTGCATTGACTAAGGCCAAAGCCATCATTTTACAACGTTGCTATTTTCAATTGAAAACCAGTTGGCATCACACACTCACACAGACACACACACGACGTACTCGCGGAAAAGAAGATAGAAAGTGCACTGCAGTTTCTAGTTTCTGATAGCAGCATCTTCCTGTATGAATTGGCTAGAGAGTTAGGCGCATTCTCTGTTGCCTGCTTGCTGGCTGGGGTCAATGACCAACAACTGAACACACAAACAACACAAGCAGCTCAAACGAGACACCGTTAATACTTACAATAAACAACAAACCACAGCAGCTTTTCTAGTAGTGGCCAAAGTAATTAGAACGTTTTACAATGCCTCGCGTTTTCGCTCAAACAGCATATAGGTTATAAGGCTAAGCCACTTAGCACATCAAATTAAACATCAATTGATAATGCCAACGTAGTGAGAATTTAGATTTGCATAGCTCTAGAATGGATAAGGTGCATCGTTTTCTTCGAGCTGCGGTCAATGGCAGCTTCTAATAAATGTTCTCACATTGCCATTACAATGCGGAAGTCTTTTGGCCATTGAACTGAACTCAACTGAACATCTATCTACCCAATCGGGTTTTTCGTTACCCCAGCGGACAGGCAACTGGCAAAGGCTCGGCTTGCTTGCCAGGCAGAGTTGTGGCTCATTCATCGCACGCAGTCAGACAGCAACGGTCCTGTCGACGCGAATGAAGCTTAAATAAAATGTGCAAGTTCACAAATCGTTTGTTTGTCTTGGCTTTGCTGCATTTCGTTGCTTTGGCTCTACCGAAGCCTCTGAAGACTCGCAGCAGTTCCAGCGATCTAATTGATCTATTATACAATGATTATGGCGACTATGGCTACCAGGTGGAGGAGGTTCACTACGATCAGAGGCAGAAGGGTACAGAAAATTTAAGATGGCATCTAGATGGTTTCGTTTTTGGTTTGCCAGGTCGTGAGGACTACTCCTGGATGGAACAGCTCTTTGAGACATACTCAAGTAAGCAGACCCCACACAGAAGCAACCGAGATTTTAAATAAGCTTGTTAAATTGTAGACAGTCCACTAGCTGCCATACGAGAACCTGTCGATCATTATCCGACTGAGTCTATTAATAAAACAGATGCGACGACCGATCAAGTGGTAAATATATCAACTCCGAAAAAGGAAATTGAAAGCCGACAAAGCTCCAATAATAAAATGTCCAGCTCACCTCGGTTTGTATATCTTGTTAAAAGCTAACTTTCAGTATTCATTAATTTATTTTATTTAATTTTTTTGAATAGCACAAAATCAGAAATGGTGCAGCTTCTTAAACTGTTTCGACGCCCACAAGTTTAATTCTCTACAACATAGCACCTTAAATACAAATGTTTAAAACCTTAAAGCTATGGCAAATAAAGAAAAACTTTGAAAACGAACAAATATATAGTTAAATCGAATTCAGGGTTTCCCGCCCTGCACACTTATCGATTGGTTGAAAGATATATACGATTCATACGATAGGGCTGGGCGATCGGTGCCATATATACTTGAGTTCTGATTATCTATAAATATAATCATTTCGAATAGATTAAAAGAAAACATTTTATTTATATCAATGACGAAGAAGACGAACAGTATAAAAGCCAGGCGTAGCCATTAGAGCCATTAGAGTTTAAATAAATAACAACTACGACGCATTAGACGACATCGATAAATATACTTGGGAAATTGTGAACCGAATACTTAGCAATTGGAATTGTTTGCTGTTAAAATTGTTTTAATATGGCTAGGAAATATCTGAAATTCACCGTCCACGATAAAAGCGAAAAAAAAGAGTACATATATAGAAATGAGTAGTGATGATGAAGAAGTTGACTGTCATACTTTACTCATGAGGATGAAGCACATATTACATCCGGCGTGCACTGAAAAGATGTATTGGATTGGTAAATAAATAAAGTTCTGTACATCGGTATTTCTTTTCGCTCTTTTTATCAGCTATACATTTGAAGCTTTCATAATCTACACTCTACAAACGCTAGCTGAACTCGTTTTCTTTTCCATTTAGATTCTGATGGTGACGAAATTTTAATTAAATCTGAAAAGGACTTGCAAGCTTGCATGGATAAATGTGAAAATGTGCATGTGCACGCTAATCGATGGCACAATTAATTAATACAATGCTTGAATTGCAACAATAAACGGGAAATGCGCATAGGATTCTGATGACTGAGCGTATGCAGAGGCAAAGCAGGCGATTCGCAAAGATTATCTAATTTGCAAAAAAACCAAATGAAAAAAAAGTGTTCTTTATTATCAATACATAATTTATTATAATTTTCTTTTACATAGAGAAAGATTATAGAAGTTGAAGTGTTTTCATATACACAAAATTCGGTCTGTGTGTCGTCGGGCACTACAGAAACGCCAAAAGGGAAATGATAAGGAAGCATAGAACAAGAAATATAAAAAATACCCATTATAATACTTCTAACGTACGCAATTTAAAAAGAACACAAAGGAGCTTTTGGAGCGTTTTACTCTGGCAAATTACCCCCTAATTAAGATTCTCCTCTCATAATCGCTTGCAAGAACACTTGGGAACACGTTTGTCGTCTCAGTGATACTGACTAATACACCTGTTGTAGTTACATCCCTTTTCTTTTGCGTTAGCGCTAAAGGACAACTGCACTGATTTACATTAGCATTGTCAGTGTGTATACTTTTAGACAGTATAATTTTTTCACTTTATACTGAGTTTTAAAAGAAAGGCATATTGAAAATTGCGCCACTAAATCATATCATATTAATAACAGGGCTGATAAGATAAATCTATCGGTCGAAAATTCCAAAGCTTAACCAACACTAGTTAGCAGAACGATACAAATTCACTAATTTCGATTAATAGTCGGTATACTTAAGACCAGCTTGGCACTACTCTTCGTTTTCGCGAATCATTTCATAAACAAATAGGTGTCCGTGGAGTGATTTGCAGTATTTTCGTTCTGCATCGAATATTCAAGAACCGTCGGGTCTAGCTGTACGACGAACAAGCCCCAGTATAAAAGCCGAAGCTGCAGCCATTGCGGTTGTATACATAAAGAACAACTGCGACGCAATAGACGACAGCATCGAGAAGCACACGAAGCAAATTGTGAAACAAATAATTAGCAAATAGAATTGTTCGCTGTCTACTTTGTCAAATTAAAACATAAAAAAAATTTATTTCAACATGTCTGAGAAATTGCTAAAAATCACTTACCACAGTGCACCAGCTGGTGTAGGCAAGAAGCTGAATGCATATTTGCGAATGCCATCAAGTAATTTTAGCATTCTTCGTCGCGAAATTGAGATGTACCTGTTCCAGGAGCGACAACTCTCCAATTGCGAGTTCAGGACATTTTGGATTGGTAAATATACATACATGCAAATGCAATGATATAATAGACGAATCAACATGCGATATCAAATGTATGCACTTGATATCAATGTGTGTGCCATGTTTGTATACATGCATACATGCATACGTGTAACTAATAAATACTTGCATGTGTGTTATTTAAACGGATGTTTGCGAGTTCGTGTATGTGCGCATCTTTGTCAAAAGACATTTTAATATGTAAATATTTGTGTATGTGTGAGTGCATTTCACAAACTTTTGTTCGGTAAATAGAAAGAGGCTAGGGTGCAATTGCCAACTCTTTGGTAAATTTCATGTATATTCACTAAAATATATGCATACGATTGTATATATACATGTATATAGATATAAAAAAGGCCCTGTGTGTGATTCACTAATTAATGCGTATCAGTATCAGTATCAATAGATTTGATAGCACAACAAAATGGCAGAAAGAACATCCACAAAAATCGAATGATTCACCATATAAATATATATTACAATTTTTTATAATCAAGAACTTTTCTTTCGCGTGTCCTCATCTTGAAAATAAATATATAATACTTTATTTTGTTTACAAAGACAAAGTAAGACTTCATGACCTACACTAAACCCCTTTTATGAAGTTACATTTAACTGACAAAAAGAGATTTATCTTTGAGTATAATAAAAGAATATATGCTTAACAGTTAATAGTTTAGTACTTGATATTACGAAATAGTTCAATCTTCCACGAAAATAGCTCATTCCATTAGTCATTAGCCTAATATAAATACCTACAATTTTAATTGAAACATGTAACACATATACCCAAAGCTTTTACATTTCGCAATCTTAGGTAATTTAAAACTTGTTTATTTTTCTTTAAGATTCCGATGCTGATGAAATTGAAGTTTTCAATCAAAATGATTATGAAATTTTCCTGGCTAAATGTGCTCAGAATATGCATTTGCAAATTGCCGCCGTTGGCGCCGATCAGACGGAAGCCAAGCAGGCATCAGCTGCTAGCCAAGCAGAAGACGATCCCAGCAATTTCATTATCCATGATGGAGTCGAGTGCGATGCATGCGGCGTTTGGCCACTGATCGGGTTTCGGTACAAATGCATACAGTGCCCAAATTTTGATTTGTGCCAGGCTTGCGAGTCGGCACATAAGCATGCCGATCATATAATGGTGCGAATGCCCACCAACAATGGACCGAGTGTAGTTGAGGCCTGGCTAAGTGGCCCGGGTAACAGCTCGCATCATCATCGCCGTTCGAGCCGTCGCTTTCGCGGTCAATGTCCATTTGCAGAGGCAACTGCTACGACAACTACTGCTTCGGCACAAGATCCGCCGACTGCTACTGCTACTGGCGGAGATTCGTATAAAGGAAGTCGTCGCGAAAGACGCCATGGCCGCCGGAATGTTAACGTATTTTCCCAATTCGTCGAAATGATGATGAACTGGCCGGAGAGCAATTCAACGCCAACTACGGCTGCCGCAAGTCAGGAGGCCAAAGAGAACGAGCCAAAAGACAAAGCAACTACAGTAAGCCAAGAAAAATCAGAAGGAACTCAAAAAGCTGAGAAATTAGAGGAGTCTAATGACATCCCAGTAAAGTCAGCAGCTTCACCTGAAGTAAATGCCGCTGCCAATGCAGAAGAGCCCGTGGCTGCTCCTCGCAGCCCCAAGGAGCAACCACAGCCACAGGCAACTGGCACGCCCACGGCTAATAGCATACCGACAACCCCGGTAATAAGTCTGGAGAATTTGGCGCAGGTTGTCAATCCTGAGTATATGCGTGCCGGTATTGAAATATTAAACAACTTTAGTGAAATGTTTGCTAAAATGATTGATCCCAGTGCAGCAGCTGATTTTGGCTGTGCCGATACGTCTACGGCCTCAAATGGCTCAACAACTTCTGAGAAGTCTGAAACTGTCTCAGAGACCGCAGAGAATCCAAGAAAACAATCAACAGAAACAACAAGTGCAGAACAGTCACTGGATGACAATGGAACACAAACATCTGTTCCAATTGCTGCTGCTGCAGCAGCTGCACCTGCAACCGCAACTGTTGGCAAACCAGTGGCACAGACAACTAATACCGGAACAGAGGAACGACGTAGATCCGAGAGCTTAGATCAGGATTGGCAAATGATTGATAACACGGCCTCGCCCATTGCCAATGTTTCTAGTTCAGATGCATTGATTAATTTGAGCACCACAAACGCTACCACAACAGATTCACCGGCAACCCCGGCACGTGACTTTGTGCAATTGGGTGAAATGCTGCGTCAGCACATGAACGAAGAACAACAGCGGGAACAGGCAACAGCTCACACACAAACTTCCCAGGTAAACACGGTAAGCACATCGACTTCAACCACAGCTGTGACCACCAATAGCACCTCGACATCGACAGCGGGTAATCCACCAGCTCCTGAGGAGAAGCGCCAAGTACCCATTTATCATACCGGTTCGTGGAAATTCATACTCAATTATAGTAGTTGAATTTTACTTAAAATCTTTATCCTTTTGCAGATGAACGTATCAATGCCGCAGTGCACGCAATGATGGCCATGGGCTTCAGCAACGAAGGAGCCTGGTTGACGCAGCTGTTGGAGTCAGTGGAGGGCAATATACCGGCTGCATTGGACATTATGCATACATCGCAGTGATCGCAATTGATTCTTTTTGTTGCATATTTATAAGTTCATTCATTTTATATTTGACAATTTATATTAGCTTCGGGCATATGTTGTCAGTTTTTGTTTATCTCCGGTGAAATGTTTGCATTTGTTTTACGAAATGAATGATTCTTGAGTATATAATCTATGTGTAAATGTATATGTTGCAAGTAATCAAAACTATGTTATTCCAATGGTATCGTGTATCAAACAACAAATAAAAAATTATATAAATATATATGTATTTAATCAATAAACTAATGCCAGATCTGTACTATGATTAATGATACAATTTCTCGCACAAATCTTCTAAATTCGTAGTTCATTGTTGTGATCAATGCAATAAACGTAAAGAATTTAAAGATCCCGACTTGATAAGCTTTCCATTGACGTCGAGCAAAGCCAGTGTTGTAGCTAAAGATCTGAGAAATCATTAGTGTTGCAAAACTGCTGAGAGCGCAAAAGCGATGAACAAGCTGTAGAGATTTTATTGTGTAGAGATATAACGGCAGGCCGCTGAGAACGCAGCACAGTAACAGAACACAGCCGACAATGCCTTTGGAGAGAGAGTGGGAAAGAGAGAGAGAATATGTAAATAGCGTGCTAGCTTGCATTTTAATCGAGTGCCTTTGCACTTACCGAAGAATCCGTGATTACTGCGGAAGTGCTTAACTGTAGCACTTGGATCTTCGCGCTTGCGCTCTCGCTTCTGCAAAGTTTTGATGCCAACGCCGACAACACCAATGCCAAAGGCGAGTAGGCCAAGAGCACTGTGCAATAGATCCAATTTAAATATGCCCAGCCACAGTTGCAAAATTCCACTATGACGCACAAGCAGAGCTTCACCCAGGAAGAAAACAAACTGTCGGAGCAAACATAAATTTACAATGTATATATATGTATACAAGTGAAAGTATGCTACTTACAGCCACTGTACAGTAGAAGGCGTGTGCCGCAGTGTGTACCATCTTGAGGGACACACATTTGTGTACTACGACAGCTGTGATGCCCGCGAGCAAAATGTGCGAGATTAAGGCACAAAAGCCAAAGTAAAACATAGCAAAGTTGTAATATTTGAACCCAGTGACCTCAAGAGGCTTTCCATCAGTTACATTGTTCCCGTCATGTTCCGTAATTGTCCTGACATAAGCTAACAGATCTGTGTTCTCGCAAACATCGCGCATTGTCATATATTTTAATTTTATTTTCTTTTCTTCTTGACTTTAACAAGTATTATCTATTACGGGCAAGACACACGTTCGGCAGGCAGATAAGAAATTCGCTGTAAGTCTACAGCCGACCGCGCGCTTCGAATGTTAAATAACGTTTGAAAGAACTCTGGCGGAACAGCGACCGCTGAACAGCTGGGTGGATCACATCTCGGAGAGAACTTTGTGTGCAAAAAAAACTTTCAAAGCAAATGGAGCATGACTCAGCGCTCTTGCACGTGCTTCACCTTGGCACCAGCCAAACTTCCCAGCCCCAGGTGCTGCCTGCCCATTGGCATTGCTCGCCTTCTACTTCCATATTCACATATACATACATTCATACATACATACATATTTATGTATTATAATGTTATTTTCGACACATTCTAAACCGGTTTGTATAATTAGTCGTGCAGTTTGCCGCCGGACTGCACTCTCTACGGCATTGAGAACAGCTGACAGTCACAGTCACAGCTAGTTATTTTGGTCCACTCTAAAACGGTTTCTATGATTCATATGTTATGAAATTTAAGCTAAAAGCAACTGAATGATAAACCAAAAACCACAATAGAACAACAAAGGGAAAAGGCGCTGTTGAGCAAGCAATTCGGCTGGTAAGAACTTTTAGTTAAATAATTATTTAAAATTACTAATTAATAAAATAAGAATACGTTTCAAATTTATTTGTTTGAATTTGTCATTAAAATAATGAAATACACTAAGTGTGTAATATAATTTCTGAGAGTGAATGAAAGATAAAATAGGCAGAGCGCGTTTTCATTACAAAAAATATCTTGTTTAATAAGGCACTCAGGCGTTTATCTCATTGGGGGATTTACATATGTCACACTGGCGACGCAATATTCTTTTGCATGCCAATGTGAAATGAATAGAATTGATGACGTCAGTCGAGAGAAAATTTCCCACAATGGCAAGCAACAGCAGCTGAGAGTTCAGTTATTAGATGTCATTTCTATGATACACCGCTTCTACGAGCACTCTCGATCTGGACGTCCAAACGACGAAGCGTCGTATGCTTTATTAACAGAAAATTAAGTAATTCGATTTCACATTTAAACAAAAATAAGAGAATACCAAAGATTTGCTAAAACAAACACGTCCGTAAAAACTTAATCAGTTTAGAAAGTTTGCAGGTATTTAAAATATATCGTTTATTTAAATTAGTGTGAGTAAAATGAAATCAAATTTAAGTGTAAATTACAATATATAAATTGAATTTATAAGCAAACATCAAATCATCCTTTTAAACGGAATTTATCAATTGTGATAATGATAATGAATATATTTCTTTCGACTTATATAGAATCATAAATCTGTTATAAAAATACTTAAATGTGAATACATATATGTAAATGCATATAAATATAGATATATACATATATATAAAAATATAAAAAAAAAATACATATATATATATATATATATATATATATATATATATTATGCTAGCCATTAGCCAACATATGAAATAGTAAATGACCAAGTCATTTAGCCAAGAGAACTACTACGAGTATCCAGACTAGAATCAAAAGTTGTTAGTCAATTAATCGCAACTATAATTTTAATTTACGGGTTTTCTTGTTCGTTTCTCGTTACAACTAACACTATACATGCTCTTTCAGAATTTGCAGTTATGGCTTCCGTGCATCCATCAACCTCTACGAAAGACGCAGTGTGTAAAGGGTATGCCCGAGTCTCCAGTCGAATATAGACAGACTTACGGACACGACTTAACTGACTTTTGTCTGTTGATCCTGACAAATGTTCATATTCACTTATAATATTTAATGATATAATCTTTTTGACGCAGAAATTATACAATCGTTGGACCGGGAACCATACACTCTCATCGAGACTACAATGTGGCTGTCGCCGTGCATCACACCAAGGAGCCCGTTACCTTGAAGATTGGTATTGCGGGACCTTCGTACAACGAGACCCAAACGGTCGAGTTGCCAAATAGCGATGAGTTCAAGCAGATTACCTTCAAGTTGCCTCCTCTAAACTCTGGAGACTATAACTTAACCGCAGAGGGCGTCTCGGGACTAGAGTTCAAGAGCTCCACGCAGCTTAGTTTGGCAGAGGTTAGACCCTATGTGAAGTTGCAAACTGATAAAGCAAAGTATAAGCCGGGCGACACAGTAAACTATCGGATAATTTTCTTGGATGAGAACCTAAAGCCTAGCGTGGCCGAGGATGATGTAGTTGTACGGTTTGAGGACTCCAACCACAGACGCATTCAGAAGATACAGCATATCAAGACCCGTTATGGAGTCTATACTGGAAAGCTTGAATTGTCAGAACTTGCTGCTTTGGGCATATGGACCCTTTCCGTTAAGAAAGGCAAAGCACATTTGCAGGAACAGGTCCAATTTGAAGTGGAGAAATATGTTCTCCCTAAGTACACCGTCAAAGTGGATGCGACGCAGCATGTGTCGGTCAAGGATAGCGACATGCAGGTTGTGGTGAAAGCCAAGTGAGTAGTTTTTTCTTTATTATCAGGGGTTAATGATTTGCATCGCCTTTTCATCAGATACACCTATGGCAAACCAGTAAATGGGAAAGTATTACTCAAGCTGTATACGGACGACTTTGGTGGTTGGACCCACCCTAATCACAGAGAAATGCAGGGGCACACACTACTCAGGAATAGTGACATGGTCAACGGCATCGCGAAATTTGATATAAACGCGAAAGAATTAGCTCAACTTTTACAAAATAATTTCACGCCACGGAATATTAAGATTTTAGCCACTGTTGAAGAGGTCTTTACGGGCGTTAAACTCAATGAAATGGGCGCCTTTCAACTCTATCACAATCAGTACAAAATGAGCTATGTGAACCCCAGTGAAGAGTCTACTGAGGATAAAGAACATGAGTTGGTATTTAAGATCACTCATGTTGATGGTACGTTGCTAAAGGACAGCAAAACCCCTGTCAGGGTAAGCAATATGGACACTTAGCTAAAAGCTATTGTTAACCTATATATACCCAAATCTTTAGCTCAAGCTATCAGATGGCATACATCATTCTGGATTTGGCTACCATTCAGACAGGCCAGCAATTGATAATAAATCTTTTGAATTTGAGACCCATCTCAATGAATCTGGTCTGGCTGTTTTTAAGGTTACGCTACCACAGCTATCATACGGTGGAATCAATTTGCCCCCCTACATCGCGGTTCTTCAGTTTGATGGAGAAGAGCAAGAGTTACACATAACTTATAACCACAGGAAGCCGACCAATATCAGCTTTCTTCCTAATAAATTCGGGTGTAATCAGATATGGTTTAAGATCACAGTGGAGAAACCTACGAACCAAAACAGGTTATTTTGGTAAACATTAGAGTTAACAAATATTTAAACGCACACCCAATTACAGTCTTAAAATCGGCGAGGTATGCCAAGTAACTTTGGACTCTAGCCGCCCGCTCAAGTACTTTGTGTACAACATCATTGGACGTGGTAATGTCCTGCAAACGGAACGAATCGTGCTGAGTGAGCCACAGACGGTTTATACGATCAGCCTAACACCCACATTCCTTATGTCACCACACGCCCGCATCTACGTCTACTACGTGGATGAGGCCGGTGAATTCCGCTATGCCGAAGAAACTTTTAGTGTAGATGTCGAACTACAGAACCCAATCGAAATTACTGCTCCAGATGAGGTGAAACCAGGCGCAGATGTTGAGCTAGAAATCAAAACAGCACCAGCGTCATTCGTTGGCGTTATGGCTGTCGATCAGAGTGCTTTGCTGCTTGGCACCAACAACGACATCGCCGAGGACTCGGTCTGTTCGCTCCTAGAACGTTATGATACAAAGACGCCCTGGCAAGGGGGTTACTCCTACTATCCCGGTGAAAGAAGCGGCGTGGTGACCATGACGAATGCCAACTTTTTCTATAATCGCACGGCACCTATCTACCATCGAGGTAACTAGAAAGTATATAAGCAGTGTACAAGGGGTTTCTAAATTGCCTGTATGCTTCTTATTACAATTTAACTTTGCCAGCCAAAAACTAATTGTCATTCATTTTATTTGCATCAGCCTTCGGTGCCTCCAACATGCAAGGTTTGGCCTTCTGTTCAAGCAATAGCAACGAGTTACTAACTTTAGATCAGTGTAGGGTCCACACAGACCTAGACAATTTGATGGGGTTCAGCCGACCAGCAATTGCTCCACCTGCCCCAAAGGTGCGCAAAAACTTTGTGGAAACGTGGCTATTCGAGGACATTGAAAATACAGAAACGGAGATTTTCAAGTGGGTCCGAAAAATCCCCGATACAATTACAAGCTGGGTGCTGACGGCGTTTTCACTGCATCCCGACAAGGGCTTGGGCGTGACCAACGAGCAGCTGAAAATTAAGACTTTCCAGCCGTTCTTTGTGTCCGTGCGTCTACCATACTCTGTGAAGCGTGGCGAGGTAATCAATGTGCCCGCTCTGGTCTTCAACTACCTGCCCAAGCAGCTGGACGTGGAGGTGACCCTGAACAACGAGGATAACGAGTACGATTTTGTGGATGTGTCCAACGAGGTACTGGGCGAACAGAAGCGCACCCAGACGCTGCGCGTGGGCGCCAATTCCGCAGCCGGCGCCTCCTTCCTTCTGCGTCCCAAAATCATTGGCAGCATTCTGCTGAAATTTACGGCCATTTCTCCTCTTGCCGGAGATGCAGTGCACAAAACCCTTAAAGTGGTGCCCGAAGGTGTCACGCAATATAAGAATCGGGCATTCTTCGTCAACTTGAAGGATGTGCACGAGCACAAGGACAACTTTGAACTAGATCTGCCGGAGGACCTTGTGCCAGACTCGCAGCATGTCGAATTTGGTTTTGTCGGCGATCTGCTTGGTCCGGTCATTAAGAATCTAGAACAGCTGCTGCACTTGCCCAGCGGCTGCGGCGAGCAGACCATGTCCAAACTTGTGCCCAACTATTTGGTACATGATTATCTGAAGCACATGAAGAAACTAACTCCAGAATTGGAGCATCGCATAAAGCGCAATCTGGAGCAAGGCTACCAGCACATGTTCCATTACCGTCACGACGATGGAAGCTATAGCTCCTTTGGACCAGGCAAGTGGCGTGAGGAGGATCCAGAACGCAACGGTTCCACCTGGCTGACGGCCTATGTGCTGCGCTCCTTTGGCCAGGTGAGGGATTTGATAAAGCTGGACGAAAAACAACTGGAGAGCGGCTATGAGTTCCTACTCAGCCGACAGGCTGAGAACGGAAGCTTCACGGAAGAAGGCGAATTTTTCTATGGCTCACAGCGCTCGGCCCTCACGATGACTGCCAACGTACTTCTGGCTCTACTTGAGCAGCAGAAGCCCAACCAAACGGCCATCGACAAGGCTGTGGCCTATCTGAATGCCCACTCCAATGAGAAGGATACGGAAGATCTATTGCCCAGGGCTATTGCTACGTACGCGTTGCAGAAAGCAAAGTCTCCAGATGCCGCCAAGCATGTGGCTGCTCTGAAAGCACTTGCCAAGCACGAGGAAGATCGCACCTGGTGGACGGAAGATGATCAAAAAAAAAGGTCTGAAAAATGTCCACGATGGTGGTGCTGGATAAGGAGCCATGACATTGAAATTACCTCATATGCACTGCTCTCGTTGCTGGAATCGGACCTAGAGACTCCCAATTCGCTGCTGAATTCGATTCGCTGGCTGGTGGCACAGCGGAACAGCTTTGGTGGTTTTGCTTCTTCACAGGATACGGTGGCTGGGCTTCAGGCCCTCATACAGTTCGCCAAGAAGTCCGGCTACGAGCCAGCTAGGTGGGACGTGTCAGTTTCCAATCAAGGTCCGCGAGAAAAGACTGAGAAGCTCAGCCTGACGGAAGATAACGATTTGCTACTACAAACGGTGGAGTTCCCTCAAGGCACCAAGTCGCTGTCGTACGAGGCCAAGGGAACTGGCGCTGCTCTGCTACAGATCAGCTACCAGTACAATGTTGTCGAGAAGGAGCCCAAGCCAAGCTTCAAGATTCAAGCTATTATTAAGCCAGAATCTCCGCCAGCCAAGCTAGAGCTCAGCGTGTGCGTTGAGTATGTGGAGGAGGGCAAGGCCAAAGCATCCAATATGGCTATACTGGAAGTCTCACTACCATCCGGCTATACCGTAGATGAGGACAGTTTCAAGGACATACAGGAAATCGAGCGCGTCAGGGTAGGTCTCAAATAATCATCATCTAACTGATCTGATCACTATTTCTGTATAAATGATCTCTTTTTATCGCAGCTGGTGGAGACCAAAAATGAAGACTCTGTGGTGGTCATCTACTTTGAGAGTCTGCCCAAGGGAGAAATCAAGTGCCTACCTATCGAGGCGTTCAAGACTCATGCTGTCGCCAATCAGAAGCCTGCTCCGATTGTTCTCTATGATTACTACGACACGAACAAGAAAGCAACTGAATATTACCAGGTCGAATCAAAGCTTAGCGACATTTGTGATAATTCCGCCTAATGCATCATATATTTTTGAGTCATATAATTTTGAATAAACTATGTCGATAACATTTTGAATAAACTATGAGCTAAATAAAATGCTACAAAAATTCTTTATTATTATTAATTACAATTGACAAAAATAAAATAATTAAATAACTTAAAAAAAGCTCAACGCTGAAACAAACTAATTGAAGCGATCCACTCGGGAAATGCACTGACAGAGCTGAGCTGCCTTTTCTAGTTGTTCATAAATAAACAAAAATACACGCATTCTTATATCATTCGGCACTTAATCCTTAATAGGCAAAATTATAAACTTAAAAAAGTGTACTAAAAACATCTCGTTTAAAACACGTTTACCCTTAAAAAAATTTTGACTACATTTACTGCACTGCGTACTATTAGACTTTCTCTCTTTGAGCTTTAGTTTAAATGATTTTGTAATGAATTTACTCGGCTGCTGACGCAGTTTAAAAATATAAAGGCTTTATAAAGAGGTAGCTCAATGAGTTCTGTGCATATAAATTAGCTAAGTGGTCAAGACTTTAATTACAACAAGAGTACAATCTACAGATTGTCGGAAAAAGAGAGACACACAAAAGGAGACCTTTTCAAACGAAGAGGCGAAGGAGTAACATCAATACAAGATTGATCAATATTAGGACCCAAAACTGAGTCGGCATGTCATTGACTTGTCAGCTATCAAGTGCGGGTACTGAGGTTCATAGTTCAGATCAAGTTCCATCAGACTTCTCGGAATGCGGGGTAGAGTTCAAGTATAATGATTATGTGCATTGGTTCAAAGCAAATAATTTAATATTCAAACAAGCAAGAAAGCTCTAGTTGGGGTACCCGTCTAGGAGATACCCTGATACCAGCTCTATCTGCCTCTTTTGTATTTTCCATAATTTCCTTTGGCACATTTTCAGCATATGATCAGTTTAGTAAGAATGCAAACTCCTTCACATATTGGCCGTATTTCCAACTGAACTTAAATTTTAAGAATTTGGAGAAATTTTTAGCTGGTACCCAAAATATAACAAAAATCAAAATTGTAGAAAACTTACATTAAACTATATACAAAACCTGAAGGCTTTAACTCTTAAGCCGTACGAGATATAATTTAATAAGTGCATTTCGATCGTATTTTTAATCGATAACAATAAAACGGGAATATCGAAACGTAAGTAATCGATTATTTGAAACAAACTTAATATGACAATAATTAAATCGATAATTGGTTATCATAAGAAACATAAATATGATCAAATTAAGTATATGGAAAAATTAATTGGTGACATTAGCATATGTTGTTGAGGGACAAATTTGATTATTAGGCAACCCTTGATTAAAATATGTTGTAGATATATATATATATATGTGCTTCTCACAGTTTTAGAGCAACAACTCCAAAAATTACCTACATATATAGTATCCTGTATAGCTCCAGTTGATAGTAGAGACTTGAAATTTGGAATAGATGAAGCATACCCCGCATGTTCTAGGACTGTTGATCATAGATAGATCCGCTCATCCAGTTGTGTCATGATGTTTATTTTGAAAACACTAAGATAAAGATAAGATCCCTAAGAATAAACGAAATTCAAGCAAATGCTTCCGATAAGCAAACGGCAAACCTTAAACAGTTCTTCGAGAGTGCTGGCATTAAATTTGTTTGCTGGAATTGCCGTATCGAATTAAATAATTTAATTTACATGCAAATGGCTGACATGATAAATATCATCTTATTTTGACTAAGGCATACGTACATCTATTATAGAAGCGCTATCTAGATCTCAGCTCCTTTCTCTCTGTACACATTTGATTAATTAAATGTCTCAGCTTAAACATTTATCATTGTGTTGTACGAGCTTTGTACGAGCTCTAGTCACAGTTCTTATCGACATATTAGCTCATTAAATTGCACTTATATTATTTATTTATATATAATATATATTTGTAAGGGTGTTTATACTTATAATTATAATTCGCTTTTGAGATTATTGTATTTCGCTTTAAAAACAAACGACTTGAGAAGGTCAAAGGTACCAAACCTTTTTGCTTGCAATAAAATATTTCCTACTTATTCAATTTTTTTTATTTCTTTATTGTTTTTGACTCTGATTATGTAATTGTATATTAAATAGGTAATCACCAAGTTTGACGACATTTTCTGTTGTTTCTGTTGTTGCTTCAAGTCAGTTTTGTTTTAATATAAACAGCAACCTGAACGAGATGTGGACTATCTAAAGCTAGATAATTATCTTAAAGTAGCGCGAATGGAAGTAATGATCGATAACTTTTCCCAATTTCCGATTTCAAATTATAGGGTTTTGGAACTATATCATAGCTCATACGTTTTAAAAGCCTGATTTACTAAATTACAAGTGCAAAATTACAAGTTCTCTAAAAGAATCCTCTTCTTTTCCCCAAATCGTCTACTTTTGTTCAACTTTATTCAATAAACACTTGTGTTCTATATTCTCAAAATTATTATAAAATTATTAAAATTATTATGGGACCCGCGTTATGTCGGGCTTTTTGGGACTATAGTTCCCTTACATTTTGTTGTGTGTGACAGCATAGATGCCTAACGCTAGCCCAAAGAACCAACACCCCTTACATACGTACATACATACATACATACACGCATAAGTATATACATACATAGGTACATAAATTCGTAGGTACATACAGTCATACCGACATACGTACATTCATACATACAATCATACAAATGTATATACACAAATACATACATACATACATACATACAAACATACATACATACATACATACATACATTCATACACACAAACATACATACATACATACACACATACATGCACACACATACATACATACATACATACATACATACATACATACATACATACATACATACATACATACATACAAAAATACATACATACATACATACAAACATACATACATACATACATACATACATACATACATACATACATACATACATACATACAAACATACATTCATTCATACATACATACATACATTCATACATACATTCATACATACATACACACATACATGCACACACATACATACATACATACATACATACAAACATATATACATACATACATACACACATACATACATACATACATACATACATTCATACAAACAAACATATATACGTACATACAATATATATATATATATATATATAAATATATGCAAGCATACATGCATATGTCCATAGATACATCCCATGTACATACCTAGATAGAACTGTAGACTGAATAAATCTCGTATCAACCAGTCGCAGCTCACCTCTGAGCCCGGTCGGTTGTCGCATCGCTTGGCAAACCAACTTGAATATATATTTTATATTTTCAATATATATATATTTATTTACAAGTTATTGTTTCTCGTTCATTTCCTCGTCAACAACAACAAAATGCGTCCCTCAGGCGCTTGTGTCGTCATTGCTTGTGCGACTCTAGTGCTTATAAGCATGGTGGACCCAGTGAAATCTGACGGGTGAGTCCAACTACTGTGAAATGTGTTTGAATTATATTTTTATATTAAATATATATTATATTGTATCATATTAATATTAAATATGTTTCGTAAATCAAGTGCAAAAAAATTCATGAATTTTTTATGATTAATTGTGATTTCGTAAATTTAGTCAAACATTTATTTGATTTTAAATGCATTAATTAAATGATTCCATTAAGTTAGCGATCCACATACAATATTATTATTAAATTAATTATATTATTAAACATATTATTAACGATCTTTGTTTGTTTGTTTGATTCTATAGTTAGTTTCTGACTAAGACCCAGCATATTTATTCTGATCATTAGCAGTTTCTTTGTATATTGTTGTATATTGATTTTAGAAAGACCATCTTATAAATACCATTTATGTATATTTAATTTGATCAGAACGACTATCTGAGTCGATCATCTATTTCTGTAATAAATAAACTAGTAGAAACCTTTAATAATCGTCGAAATGGATTTTGTGTTGAAAAGAAAGTTAACTTGAGATCATGAAGAGCACTCTCATCCCCGCATAATTTATTAGATCCGTCAAATGTATTTATTCAGTTTATATATCTTACATAACTAGCGCGAATATTTACAGTTATGCGCCTGCTCATTTTCGGAATTCCATCATCAATTAATATAAGTCGTGCTCTTAGAAACAGAAGACAAGAAAATGAAGCCCGATTGATAACGCAAAACGACCAACCATAAAATTTAAATATTAATATATGAAGTTTAATCTCTGCTCGGCGTCAACATTTATAATATATTCGAAATCCAAAAGTCAATTGGGCAAGCTCAATATATAAATTAAAAATCAAATCTTAGCTAATGGGTGACCCAGTATTATGACATTATGAAATCGTCGTCGACCTACACTGATTATAATTAAGTACCAATTTCGTTGCTTGCCGCAGACAATATACAATCGTTGGACCGGGAACCATACACTCTCATCGAGACTACAATGTGGCTGTCGCCGTGCATCACACCAAGGAGCCTGTTACCTTGAAGATTGGTATTACGGGACCTTCGTACAACGAGACCCAAACGGTCGAGTTGCCAAATAGCGATGAGTTCAAGCAGATTACCTTCAAGTTGCCTCCTCTAAAATCTGGAGACTATAACTTAACCGCAGAGGGCGTCTCGGGACTAGAGTTCAAGAACTCCACGCAGCTTACTTTGGCAGAGTTTAAGCCCTACGTCAAGCTGCAAACCGATAAGGGAAAGTATAAGCCCGGCGACACTATCAACTACCGCGTAATCTTCTTGGATGAGAACCTGAGGCCAAGTGTGGCCGAGGATGATGTAGTCGTATGGTTCGAGGATCCCAAACGCAATCGCATTAAAGAGCTTAAGCACATCAAGACTCGAGGTGGTGTCTACACCGGAAAATTTGAACTGTCGGAGTTTGCCATTCTGGGCTCGTGGACCCTTTCGGTGCAGAGTGGCAATTCCTATTCGGATGAGCGGGCCTACTTTGACGTGGAGAAATACGTGCTCCCTAAATACATCGTCAAAATGGATGCGACTCAGCATGTGTCGGTCAAGGACGGTGATATGCAGGTTGTTGTGAAAGCCAAGTAAGTGACTTTTCCCCATGTTCTTCCTGACCCGAATAGAGCTTTAATCGTTCTCTCAGTTACACCTATGGCAAGCCAGTAAATGGCAAAGTACTGCTCAATGTGCACACGGACGAGTCAAGCTCATGGTCCACGGTAAATGGCGAAACAGTCCGCACAGACACGCCAGGGCACGCTCTCATCAGAACTGCGGAGATGGTCAACGGCAAGGCGAAATTTGATATTAATGTTAAGGAATTTGCTACTTTCTTGCCACACAAAACGTCGTCGTGGTACGCACAGATTTTGGCCACTGTTGAGGAGGACTTTACAGGTGTTCAACTTAACGAAACTGGGGGCGTACAACTTTATCCGTATCGCTACGAAATGTCCTGCGTGGACTACAGCTCTTGCTATTCCTTTGTAGCCGATAAGGAACACGAAATCATCTTCAAAGTCACTCTTGTTGATGGCACCCTACTAAAAGACACCAAGACCCCTGTCAAGGTAAGCAAGGGTATGAAATGGCTGGCTACACTTAATAAATCTTCTGTCATTGTATCTATGAACCTTTAGGCAAAGTTCACCGAGGGCATACGCCACTCTAGATATGGCGAAGAGTCCAAATTACCGACAATTGAGAAGAAATCCCTTGAATTTGAGAGCCACCTAAACGAGTCCAGCTTGGCTGTCTTTAAGATCACGCTGCCAGATTTACCTGACATGGAAAACTATACGCGTTACTACAGCATCGAGTTACAGTTTGATGGAGAAGAGCGAGAGCTGTATACAACCTATCCCTACAGGGAGCCAAAGAAAATTGAACCACTTCCTGAAGAAGAGAAGGAAAAGGAATGGTTTAAGGTCGACGTGCAGAGACCTAAGGACATATGGAGGTTCGTATAGTAAATATTTCCCGGTATGCAATTCTTAAACATCCGCCTCTTTTTAGCCTCAAAATCGGAGAGGAATACCAAATTACTTTGAACTCCAGTCGTCCGCTCAAGTACTTTGTGTACAACATCATTGGACGTGGCAATGTCCTGCAAACGGAACGAATCGTGCTGAGTGAGCCACAGAAGGTCTATAACATCAGTCTGACACCAACATTCCTGACGTCTCCTTATGGTCGTATCTATGTCTACTACGTGGATGAGACCGGTGAATTCCGCTATGCCGAGGATACTTTCCATGTAGATGTCGAGCTACAGAACCAACTTGAGGTGACTGCTCCAGATGAGGTGAAACCAGGTGCAGATGTTGAGCTAGAAATTAAGACGCCGCCGCAGTCATTCGTTGGCTTGATGGCTGTGGATCAGAGCGTCTTGTTGTTGGGAATGAAAGCCGACATCCGTAAGGATTCGTTTGCCTGGCGCCTACAACGCTATAACACTCACACACCCTGGCAAGGGGGTTACTCCTATTATCCCGGTGAACGAAGCGGCGTGGTGACCATGACAAATGCCAACTTTTTCTATAATCGTACAGCACCCGATTATCACACTCGTAAGTAAAAAATAAGACAATCTGAGAATCTTCATAAGATTCAAAAACGGATCTCTACGCGATTTAATTTTGTAGTATCGACAATCTCTTATTTCTTTAATTTGCCGACACCTCCTCAGGTGATGTCTTTAGGACGTCCGCACTTGTATCGAATGACCAGCCTCTCAGCTCTGCATCTCCCAAAGTCTGGGTAAAGCAAAGTCAGCTCACTGCGAACACAGTTGGATTCGCTGCGGCAGCGCCTGCCTCAGCACCGACTGTACGCAAAAACTTTGTGGAAACGTGGCTATTCGAGGACATTGAAAATACAGAAACGGAGATTTTCAAGTGGGTCCGAAAAATCCCCGATACAATTACAAGCTGGGTGCTGACGGCGTTTTCACTGCATCCCGACAAGGGCTTGGGCGTGACCAACGAGCAGCTGAAAATTAAGACTTTCCAGCCGTTCTTTGTGTCCGTGCGTCTACCATACTCTGTGAAGCGTGGCGAGGTAATCAATGTGCCCGCTCTGGTCTTCAACTACCTGCCCAAGCAGCTGGACGTGGAGGTGACCCTGAACAACGAGGATAACGAGTACGATTTTGTGGATGTGTCCAACGAGGTACTGGGCGAACAGAAGCGCACCCAGACGCTGCGCGTGGGCGCCAATTCCGCAGCCGGCGCCTCCTTCCTTCTGCGTCCCAAAATCATTGGCAGCATTCTGCTGAAATTTACGGCCATTTCTCCTCTTGCCGGAGATGCAGTGCACAAAACCCTTAAAGTGGTGCCCGAAGGTGTCACGCAATATAAGAATCGGGCATTCTTCGTCAACTTGAAGGATGTGCACGAGCACAAGGACAGCTTTGAACTGGATCTGCCGGAGGACCTTGTGCCAGACTCGCAGCATGTCGAATTTGGTTTTGTCGGCGATCTGCTTGGTCCGGTCATTAAGAATCTAGAACAGCTGCTGCACTTGCCCAGCGGCTGCGGCGAGCAGACCATGTCCAAACTTGTGCCCAACTATTTGGTACATGATTATCTGAAGCACATGAAGAAACTAACTCCAGAATTGGAGCATCGCATAAAGCGCAATCTTGAGCAAGGCTACCAGCACATGTTCCATTACCGTCACGACGATGGAAGCTATAGCTCCTTTGGACCAGGCAAGTGGCGTGAGGAGGATCCAGAACGCAACGGTTCCACCTGGCTGACGGCCTATGTGCTGCGCTCCTTTGGCCAGGTGAGGGATTTGATAAAGCTGGACGAAAAACAACTGGAGAGCGGCTATGAGTTCCTACTCAGCCGACAGGCTGAGAACGGAAGCTTCACGGAAGAAGGCGAATTTTTCTATGGCTCACAGCGCTCGGCCCTCACGATGACTGCCAACGTACTTCTGGCTCTACTTGAGCAGCAGAAGCCCAACCAAACGGCCATCGACAAGGCTGTGGCCTATCTGAATGCCCACTCCAATGAGAAGGATACGGAAGATCTATTGCCCAGGGCTATTGCTACGTACGCGTTGCAGAAAGCAAAGTCTCCAGATGCCGCCAAGCATGTGGCTGCTCTGAAAGCACTTGCCAAGCACGAGGAAGATCGCACCTGGTGGACGGAAGATGATCAAAAAAAAAGGTCTGAAAAATGTCCACGATGGTGGTGCTGGATAAGGAGCCATGACATTGAAATTACCTCATATGCACTGCTCTCGTTGCTGGAATCGGACCTAGAGACTCCCAATTCGCTGCTGAATTCGATTCGCTGGTTGGTGGCGCAGCGGAACAGCTTTGGTGGTTTTGCTTCTTCGCAGGATACGGTGGCTGGGCTTCAGGCCCTCATACAGTTCGCCAAGAAGTCCGGCTACGAGCCAGCTAGGTGGGACGTGTCAGTTTCCAATCAAGGTCCGCGAGAAAAGACTGAGAAGCTCAGCCTGACGGAAGATAACGATTTGCTACTACAAACGGTGGAGTTCCCTCAAGGCACCAAGTCGCTGTCGTACGAGGCCAAGGGAACTGGCGCTGCTCTGCTACAGATCAGCTACCAGTACAATGTTGTCGAGAAGGAGCCCAAGCCAAGCTTCAAGATTCAAGCTATTATTAAGCCAGAATCGCCGCCAGCCAAGTTAGAGCTCAGCGTATGCGTTGAGTATGTGGAGGAGGGCAAGGCCAAAGCATCCAATATGGCTATACTGGAAGTCTCACTACCATCCGGCTATACCGTAGATGAGGACAGTTTCAAGGACATACAGGAAATCGAGCGCGTCAGGGTAGGTCTCAAATAATCATCATCTAACTGATCTGATCACTATTTCTGTATAAATGATCTCTTTTTATCGCAGCTGGTGGAGACCAAAAATGAAGACTCTGTGGTGGTCATCTACTTTGAGAGTCTGCCCAAGGGAGAAATCAAGTGCCTACCTATCGAGGCGTTCAAGACTCATGCTGTCGCCAATCAGAAGCCTGCTCCGATTGTTCTCTATGATTACTACGACACGAACAAGAAAGCAACTGAATATTACCAGGTCGAATCAAAGCTTTGCGACATTTGTGAGGGCGATGAATGTACGGCTAAGTGCTGAATACTATCTTGTCAAATGATATTAAATATCTGATATATGTCCTTTTTAATAATAATAATAATAATTTGCTCTGAGTCATCGTTTAATATGTTAACTGATTTGCTGAAATATATCGGAAAACAGGGTTGAGTGTAGATAAGAATATATATATATATATATATATATATATATATATATATATATATATATATATATATATATATTATATAGATATATAGATATATATATCACTCATCGGGACCGATGATTATTGATACTTAAGTTACTCTTAAATTCTAAATATCTAAATATTTCAGTTTCCTAAATATTTCATTTAGATCATTGTTAATCTCCGCCACAGATAGAATTACAAATTGTCTGGTCAAATTTTGCATACAGTTACTATCAAAATACCGTAAATAAGTATTCGGTTGTGGCCGACAGCAAATTTCTTACTTTGGCTTTTCTTTATTAGAGAGCTGTTTATAGGCGAGATATCGTTTGATATACCTATTTCAATTCCAATGGTATATAAAACATGTGAATTTTAATTAAAGTTAGCTTAAAGCACTAATATATAATAATCGCATAAGGTGAAGGTTAATAAGTTGAGGGTTATGTTCTCTCCTTCACTGGATACGGGGAATACCATTCATCTATGTGTTCTGTGTCAGCGTGTGGTAAAAACGTACATTGTCCAGGAGATGACGTCATTTGAGAGAATATTTCCCCTAAAGTAAAAGCAGATACAAACCACCAACACAGCATATGGAGAGAGAAGGTGTAAACAAAGAGACTGAGAGAATTGCCCAGTTACCAGCTGACATTTGTGCCGTCCGCCGGTTCGGTTGGCACTCCCGATCAAACGGTCATTAGTGCGTTGAGTGTTTCATAAACAAAAGCAAGTTTATTTTGAGAACGGTGAAAAGGCGATAAAGGCCAATAAGTCAACAGTGAAAACAAATTTTTGTAAATCGTACACAAATCGTTCAACATTTATTTAACAAACAGCGACAAATTTCGTGGCTGTCGAGAAAAATCAGTTCTGGGAATTCCACAGCCTCAAAAAGTACGTCAATAATTTTAATTCGTTTGTGGTGTATGTGAATATTTTACATACATATGTCATTCCTATGTACATCTATAAATACCTACGTCATAGCATTGGTCTATTGGAACAGGAAAAACCTAGTGAACATATTGTGCACGCGATTAAGACTGAATCTTTAATGAACGCTAAACATACAACAATTAAAGTGCTAATTACAAAGCTGAAATTAAATTTATCTGCAGAATTTTTATTCATTGAATTCAACATTTTTAATTAACCATTTGCATGTTATGGCACGATATGATAGATAATTCATTCTATGACTATTACTTTCTACTCATACCCCACAGACACGTAATGCCATATATATATATATATATATATATATATATATATATATATATATATGATTTCATACATGTTTCGTATGAAATCATTTCCATATTAAAAATAGATAACAAGACTTGACTAATCGAATAGCTTATATTCGATTACAATTGAATTATTTATAATTCAAGTATAAGTAAAAAATGAAAGTGATATTTTACTTCAATTTAATTTTGCTATCTCAACCTCTTAACTTGTCAGGAACTTTTGAGACTTGTATTCGTTTAGCGATCGTCCGCTATCGGTCCGTGTATCATCGTATTTTTTGTTTATTTTCTAAATAATTCATTAATATTTTTATTGTTGCTTGCATATACATATACACAGAGGTATATGTAAATCTGTAGGCGAAATCTTCTTGTTAAATTTAATTATCAGCAAGCATTTTATTATATTATTTTTTATTGTTGTTTTGCTGTCTATGGCTTGGCCGCAGTCCCGAAGCCCTGTACACGCATTTATACATGCATATGTACATACTCACATACTTATAAACACACAAACAAAGAAAGCTATAACAAATCTCGTATGTCACCGGCTTAACCAGTCGCAGCTCAGCTCTGAGCCCGGTCGGTTGTCGCATCGCTTGGCAAACCAACTTGAATATATATTTTATATTTTCAATATATATATATTTATTTACAAGTTATTGTTTCTCGTTCATTTCCTTTTCAACAACAACAAAATGCGTCGCTCAGGCGCTTTTGCTGTCATCGCTTGTGCGACTCTGGCGCTTCTAAGCATGGCGGACCCAGTGAAATGTGACGGGTGAGTCCAACTCCTTTATATTAAGTATATATTATATTTATATTAAATGTGTACTATATCTAAATTAAATATATATTGAATTTATTTTTAATGTATACATATATTTATATATTTGTGTCATTCATGAATTTACTGTGATTAATTGTGATATCGTAAATTTAGTCAAAAATGTATTTGATTTCAAATGCATAATTTAATTGATTCCATTAATTTCGTTAGTTAATGGATCAGTAAAGTGGGGAGCAATCGTAGCATGAAGTTAGCGATCCACATACAATATTTAATATATATTATTAAGCATATTGTTATTCATGACCTTTGTTTCTATAGTTTGCGTAATTCTTAGCACCTTCTGACTAAGACCCAGCCTATTTATTCTGATCATTAGCAGTTGCCTTTTTAATGTATCGGTTTTCCCAAGATAGTCCAGCAGTTAAAAAAAAATATCCCATTGGCAATAAACAAATCACGTTTATTGTTTTTTAAATACTTTTTCATGTCTATAATATACGAGTTGCCTTCAAAAACCAGTTTATTGTTTACACTTATATGTGATCTCGGCTTTTAAGAAATTTTTCATTGTCAATGTTATTTGTACATATATACATATATATTTATTTTTAGTTTTTATTGAAATTATGTAATTTGCGGAGAAAAACCCTCAATTTCGTAATGCACTTAAAAATCGCATTTGGCAACTTGGTAAAGTTTTTTGAACTCCAGTTAATCCATCTGTGTTTCTGTATATATTACATCACCGACGCTCCGAGCAGGTTTCTACAGATCAGGTTCTGAGAATATTTACAGTTAGGCATGTGAAACGTGACATCGTCAAACAAAATATATAACAGACTGATAAAGCTTAATCATTTCTGATGTAGATTAAACTCAAAAACTATTACTAACTATGTATGTATAAAGCCATGTCATTAAAAATCAAATCTTAGCTAATGGGTGACCCAGTATTATGACATTATCAAATCGTCGTCGACCTACACTGATTATAATTAAGTACCAATTTCGTTGCTTGCCGCAGACAATATACAATCGTTGGACCGGGAACCATACACTCTCATCGAGACTACAATGTGGCTGTCGCCGTGCATCACACCAAGGAGCCTGTTACCTTGAAGATTGGTATTACGGGACCTTCGTACAACGAGACCCAAACGGTCGAGTTGCCAAATAGCGATGAGTTCAAGCAGATTACCTTCAAGTTGCCTCCTCTAAAATCTGGAGACTATAACTTAACCGCAGAGGGCGTCTCGGGACTAGAGTTCAAGAACTCCACGCAGCTTACTTTGGCAGAGTTTAAGCCCTACGTCAAGCTGCAAACCGATAAGGGAAAGTATAAGCCCGGCGACACTATCAACTACCGCGTAATCTTCTTGGATGAGAACCTTAGGCCAAGTGTGGCCGAGGATGATGTAGTCGTATGGTTCGAGGATCCCAAACGCAATCGCATTAAAGAGCTTAAGCACATCAAGACTCGAGGTGGTGTCTACACCGGAAAATTTGAACTGTCGGAGTTTGCCATTCTGGGCTCGTGGACCCTTTCGGTGCAGAGTGGCAATTCCTATTCGGATGAGCGGGCCTACTTTGACGTGGAGAAATACGTGCTCCCTAAATACATCGTCAAAATGGATGCGACTCAGCATGTGTCGGTCAAGGACGGTGATATGCAGGTTGTTGTGAAAGCCAAGTAAGTGACTTTTCCCCATGTTCTTCCTGACCCGAATAGAGCTTTAATCGTTCTCTCAGTTACACCTATGGCAAGCCAGTAAATGGCAAAGTACTGCTCAATGTGCACACGGACGAGTCAAGCTCATGGTCCACGGTAAATGGCGAAACAGTCCGCACAGACACGCCAGGGCACGCTCTCATCAGAACTGCGGAGATGGTCAACGGCAAGGCGAAATTTGATATTAATGTTAAGGAATTTGCTACTTTCTTGCCACACAAAACGTCGTCGTGGTACGCACAGATTTTGGCCACTGTTGAGGAGGACTTTACAGGTGTTCAACTTAACGAAACTGGGGGCGTACAACTTTATCCGTATCGCTACGAAATGTCCTGCGTGGACTACAGCTCTTGCTATTCCTTTGTAGCCGATAAGGAACACGAAATCATCTTCAAAGTCACTCTTGTTGATGGCACCCTACTAAAAGACACCAAGACCCCTGTCAAGGTAAGCAAGGGTATGAAATGGCTGGCTACACTTAATAAATCTTCTGTCATTCTATCTATGAACCTTTAGGCAAAGTTCACCGAGGGAATACGCCACTCTAGATATGGCGATGAGTCCAAATTACCGACAATTGAGAAGAAATCCCTTGAATTTGAGAGCCACCTAAACGAGTCCAGCTTGGCTGTCTTTAAGATCACGCTGCCAGATTTACCTGACATGGAAAACTATACGCGTTACTACAGCATCGAGTTACAGTTTGATGGAGAAGAGCGAGAGCTGTATACAACCTATCCCTACAGGGAGCCAAAGAAAATTGAACCACTTCCTGAAGAAGAGAAGGAAAAGGAATGGTTTAAGGTCGACGTGCAGAGACCTAAGGACATATGGAGGTTCGTATAGTAAATATTTCCCGGTATGCAATTCTTTAACATTCGCCTCTTTTTAGCCTCAAAATCGGAGAGGAATACCAAGTTACTTTGAACTCCAGTCGTCCGCTCAAGTACTTTGTGTACAACATCATTGGACGTGGCAATGTCCTGCAAACGGAACGAATCGTGCTGAGTGAGCCACAGAAGGTCTATAACATCAGTCTGACACCAACATTCCTGACTTCTCCTTATGGTCGTATCTATGTCTACTACGTGGATGAGACCGGTGAATTCCGCTATGCCGAGGATACTTTCCATGTAGATGTCGAGCTACAGAACCAGATTGAGGTGACTGCTCTAGATGAGGTCAAGCCAGGCGCAGATGTTGAGCTAGAAATTAAGACGCCGCCCCAGTCATTCGTTGGCTTGATGGCTGTGGATCAGAGCGTCTTGTTGCTAGGATCCAATAATGACATCAATAAAGATTCGTTCGGTTGGCGCTTAGGACGTTACGATACTCACACACCCTGGCAAGGGGGTTACTCCTACTATCCCGGTGAACGAAGCGGCGTGGTGACCATGACGAATGCCAACTTCTTCTATAATCGCACAGCTCCCGATTATCACCTAAGTAAGCTGAAAAAAAGTAAGAAGTGTGAATGACGTTTATAAGACTCATGAATGCTTCTCTTTGTTGCTTTTAATAACTGCCTCGTCATGTTAGTAACAATCAAATTATATAATTTGCAGAAAGCTTCGCAGGTGGCGTCATGCGAAAGACCGCACTTGTATCGAATGACATGGTACATAGCACAGCAGTTCCAATGAGCGCATCAGCAGAAGGTGCCTTAGTTGGGAACGCAGGTGGATTCGCTGCAGCGCCTGCCTCAGCACCGACAGTGCGCAAAAACTTTGTGGAAACGTGGCTATTCGAGGACATCGAAAGTACCAAGACAGAGATTTTCAAGTGGGTCCGAAAAATCCCCGATACAATTACAAGCTGGGTGCTGACGGCGTTTTCACTGCATCCCGACAAGGGCTTGGGCGTGACCAACGAGCAGCTGAAAATTAAGACTTTCCAGCCGTTCTTTGTGTCCGTGCGTCTACCATACTCTGTGAAGCGTGGCGAGGTAATCAATGTGCCCGCTCTGGTCTTCAACTACCTGCCCAAGCAGCTGGACGTGGAGGTGACCCTGAACAACGAGGATAACGAGTACGATTTTGTGGATGTGTCCAACGAGGTACTGGGCGAACAGAAGCGCACCCAGACGCTGCGCGTGGGCGCCAATTCCGCAGCCGGCGCCTCCTTCCTTCTGCGTCCCAAAATCATTGGCAGCATTCTGCTGAAATTTACGGCCATTTCTCCTCTTGCCGGAGATGCAGTGCACAAAACCCTTAAAGTGGTGCCCGAAGGTGTCACGCAATATAAGAATCGGGCATTCTTCGTCAACTTGAAGGATGTGCACGAGCACAAGGACAGCTTTGAACTGGATCTGCCGGAGGACCTTGTGCCAGACTCGCAGCATGTCGAATTTGGTTTTGTCGGCGATCTGCTTGGTCCGGTCATTAAGAATCTAGAACAGCTGCTGCACTTGCCCAGCGGCTGCGGCGAGCAGACCATGTCCAAACTTGTGCCCAACTATTTGGTACATGATTATCTGAAGCACATGAAGAAACTAACTCCAGAATTGGAGCATCGCATAAAGCGCAATCTGGAGCAAGGCTACCAGCACATGTTCCATTACCGTCACGACGATGGAAGCTATAGCTCCTTTGGACCAGGCAAGTGGCGTGAGGAGGATCCAGAACGCAACGGTTCCACCTGGCTGACGGCCTATGTGCTGCGCTCCTTTGGCCAGGTGAGGGATTTGATAAAGCTGGACGAAAAACAACTGGAGAGCGGCTATGAGTTCCTACTCAGCCGACAGGCTGAGAACGGAAGCTTCACGGAAGAAGGCGAATTTTTCTATGGCTCACAGCGCTCGGCCCTCACGATGACTGCCAACGTACTTCTGGCTCTACTTGAGCAGCAGAAGCCCAACCAAACGGCCATCGACAAGGCTGTGGCCTATCTGAATGCCCACTCCAATGAGAAGGATACGGAAGATCTATTGCCCAGGGCTATTGCTACGTACGCGTTGCAGAAAGCAAAGTCTCCAGATGCCGCCAAGCATGTGGCTGCTCTGAAAGCACTTGCCAAGCACGAGGAAGATCGCACCTGGTGGACGGAAGATGATCAAAAGTTGCGCCCCGGAAAATGTGCTCGCTGGTGGTGCTGGGTGTGGAGCCATGACATTGAAATCACTTCATATGCACTGCTCTCGTTGCTGGAATCGGACCTAGAGACTCCCAATTCGCTGCTGAATTCGATTCGCTGGCTGGTGGCACAGCGGAACAGCTTTGGTGGTTTTGCTTCTTCGCAGGATACGGTGGCTGGGCTTCAGGCCCTCATACAGTTCGCTAAGAAGTCCGGCTACGAGCCAGCTAGGTGGGACGTGTCAGTGTCCAATCAAGGTCCGCGAGAAAAGACTGAGAAGCTCAGCCTGACGGAAGATAACGATTTGCTACTACAAACGGTGGAGTTCCCTCAAGGCACCAAGTCGCTGTCGTACGAGGCCAAGGGAACTGGCGCTGCTCTGCTACAGATCAGCTACCAGTACAATGTTGTCGAGAAGGAGCCCAAGCCGAGCTTCAAGATTCAAGCTATTATTAAGCCAGAATCGCCGCCAGCCAAGTTAGAGCTCAGCGTATGCGTTGAGTATGTGGAGGAGGGCAAGGCCAAAGCATCCAATATGGCTATACTGGAAGTCTCACTACCATCCGGCTATACCGTAGATGAGGACAGTTTCAAGGACATACAGGAAATCGAGCGCGTCAGGGTAGGTCTCAAATAATCATCATCTAACTGATCTGATCACTATTTCTGTATAAATGATCTCTTTTTATCGCAGCTGGTGGAGACCAAAAATGAAGACTCTGTGGTGGTCATCTACTTTGAGAGTCTGCCCAAGGGAGAAATCAAGTGCATACCTATCGAGGCGTTCAAGACTCATGCTGTCGCCAATCAGAAGCCTGCTCCGATTGTTCTCTATGATTACTACGACACGAACAAGAAAGCAACTGAATATTACCAGGTCGAATCAAAGCTTTGCGACATTTGTGAGGGCGATGAATGTACGGCTAAGTGCTGAACACCATCTTATCTAATGATAACATCTATGTGCCCTTTACTAATTACGAAGAGAAAATAAATTGCTGTGATTATACTGTTGAATTCTCATTGATTTACTTAAAAGTGTAGAATGGTTTAGTACCAGCTCTGTGCAGGGGTGAGAGCATCTTCTAGTCTTGCACTCCCGACTACAAGTCTCTCCTATCATAAGTGTACGGCTAGCTCGTTGAAAATGGGAATGAATCATGTTGATCTATCCATGTGACTTAAGCTTCGCATGTTCTTAACTTGAAATTTATATATTTTCTTGTATACAGTTCATTATTTTTATGCTCACTCACGAAAGATATATTTGGTCGATATGAACGCAAAATATTTCTTCGCTATTAAAGTTAAAATTATGTTATATATTGATCACAGGATACTTGGAATATATGTATATATACTCGTTAGTACAAACCCTATCTAAACATATATAAGTTATATACATACGACAATAGGGGCGTGGCAAATAGAATTTTCCACAATTGGAACCTTGGTTTTGTTATTGTCGACTCATCTAAGGTGAGGTAAATGGTAATGGCTCTAGCTTAAGCAATATAAAAGATACAATCGTATCCGATTTATCAGATGTTAAAAATGATTTACAACGCATATCGAAACAAGTTAAGATTTCGTAGGAATGGTTTTTAGATGAATGTATAGAGTTTGAACTGTAGATTGCTGTTTAGTAAACTTGTTGCAATTTGTTTAAGCTGAAAACTAGAAAATAGATAAATAAATAAATGTAATCATATAATTTTGTATGGATGAAAAATTACTTTGTGGTATTTTCTATGATTTCACTATGCAAAATGATTGAGCCCTGTACTAAAAGTCTAGTGTGCCAACACCTGACAAGTTTTGTTAAACCAAACATGCGTGCAGACAAGCATATAAGGAAAGTTTTGTGCCACTTCCAACTAGTCGCCACAAAGCGTTTGGCCCGCTCACACAACTCTTGGCAGATCAACTTGAATATACTTTTATAGCAAACAAAAACAAACACGAAAAACAACGCGTCGTTCAGATATTTTGCTAGCATCGCTTGTGCGGCTCTTGAGGAGTAAGGGTCGCGCACTCTTGAGGGGTAAGTCAGATTCCTTGCAGATATATTAGCCAGAAATTATCTATAAAATCATAATCCATGCAATTATAAAAATACTGCTACAGTGTTGAGAATTTGAGACAGTTTTGAGCTATCAAGGAGCTGAAGTAACAGCAATTATCTCTGAAGGTGCATTGGCATTGGCATTGGATGGTTTTAATTTAAATAATAACATGGATTTAATTCAAAATAAAGCTGGTATTTTTTAAAAATGGGTACATACATGTATGAGAAATAATTCTATGAATTGAAAGACAGCGAAAATCGATTACAAATATTAAAATGGATTCGTGTTTAAAAGGTACGGATATACCAATTCGAGGATCGTACAGTAAAACTCCTTTGTTTAAAAATTTAAAAATTTCTTCCTAAAATATACAAAATATACAGCAAATCATTTAATATTTTAGGGAACAAGGATGATATTAACCTGTATAAATGGGATCTTTCCTAACAGCTGTCATATTAGCAATGATTTTTCCAATGCGTTTGGAAAAAGATTTCTGAAATTTACATCAAACATATTCAATTTGTTCAGTCATGAATATGTTAATAGACATCCGTTACTATATAAGAAATTTAAATAAAAAGTTTCGTTCATGGGAGCGAGCATAGATCGCTGTTGCTCCCTCTTCGAAGTAAAGCTCTTTAAAAAAATATAATATAATGTGATACTCTGAATTTATCAGCAGTTTCAGTAGTGTTAGTGTGAGGCTGAGTTGTTCAGAGTTATTGTGGTTCAGTTCGGGTTTAGATCCTCAAGTCGTCACTCCGTAAGACTGAGACAAAGATACATGTTGCTGAAGGTAGTGCCGGGTGTTGACAAGTGAGAGTGAGATAGACAATGGACAAAAAGAGACGACGAGAAATTGACATTCTGGAAATGGATTCAGTTCTGAAAGACAGCGCGAATTCGTCACTGGACGCGGTTGTAGAGGATGTATAAATCGGAGTGACAGTTGGCCAACCTGACTAAATCTCATTATTATTATTTTTTCTTATTTATTTTATTATTAGAATAATTTAACAGTTTGCCTAATTCTTAGCACTCTGTGACTAATACAAGATATTTGTTCTGCTCATTAGCAGCTGCTTGTTAAGTGTCTCTTTTTTCCACATTGATCAGTTAGCTTTATAAATTTGCAAATAAATTTAACTTTTTTCGACTCTGAACGTTTCTACTTGTTTTTGAAGAACTTTCTTATGCACATCAATATAGAAGCGGCCTTCACAACAACCAGTTTATATTTATACATATTCTGGAAATGATAAGACATTTTTCATTGTCAATGTCAATTGTATATATATATATATATAAGTGAATTTAAAAAAATATAAACTTTTATTTAGTATTTAGAGAGAAACCCTCAATTTCGTAATGCACTTAAAAATCGCATTTGGCAACTTGGTAAAGTTTTTTGAACTCCAGTTAATCCATCTGTGTTTCTGTATATATTACATCACCGACGCTCCGAGCAGGTTTCTACAGATCAGGTTCTGAGAATATTTACAGTTAGGCATGTGAAACGTGACATCGTCAAACAAAATATATAACAGACTGATAAAGCTTAATCATTTCTGATGTAGATTAAACTCAAAAACTATTACTAACTATGTATGTATAAAGCCATGTCATTAAAAATCAAATCTTAGCTAATGGGTGACCCAGTATTATGACATTATGAAATCGTCGTCGACCTACACTGATTATAATTAAGTACCAATTTCGTTGCTTGCCGCAGACAATATACAATCGTTGGACCGGGAACCATACACTCTCATCGAGACTACAATGTGGCTGTCGCCGTGCATCACACCAAGGAGCCCGTTACCTTGAAGATTGGTATTACGGGACCTTCGTACAACGAGACCCAAACGGTCGAGTTGCCAAATAGCGATGAGTTCAAGCAGATTACCTTCAAGTTGCCTCCTCTAAAATCTGGAGACTATAACTTAACCGCAGAGGGCGTCTCGGGACTAGAGTTCAAGAACTCCACGCAGCTTACTTTGGCAGAGTTTAAGCCCTACGTCAAGCTGCAAACCGATAAGGGAAAGTATAAGCCCGGCGACACTATCAACTACCGCGTAATCTTCTTGGATGAGAACCTTAGGCCAAGTGTGGCCGAGGATGATGTAGTCGTATGGTTCGAGGATCCCAAACGCAATCGCATTAAAGAGCTTAAGCACATCAAGACTCGAGGTGGTGTCTACACCGGAAAATTTGAACTGTCGGAGTTTGCCATTCTGGGCTCGTGGACCCTTTCGGTGCAGAGTGGCAATTCCTATTCGGATGAGCGGGCCTACTTTGACGTGGAGAAATACGTGCTCCCTAAATACATCGTCAAAATGGATGCGACTCAGCATGTGTCGGTCAAGGACGGTGATATGCAGGTTGTTGTGAAAGCCAAGTAAGTGACTTTTCCCCATGTTCTTCCTGACCCGAATAGAGCTTTAATCGTTCTCTCAGTTACACCTATGGCAAGCCAGTAAATGGCAAAGTACTGCTCAATGTGCACACGGACGAGTCAAGCTCATGGTCCACGGTAAATGGCGAAACAGTCCGCACAGACACGCCAGGGTACGCTGTTAAATGCTTACAGACATAAGGAGGTATGGCCGAAGCCAAAAATTCTTTAACAGAAATACTACCCCCGGCTATCAACCTGTTTGCCCGTATGATCTCGGTGACCTAAAACAATCAAAAATATGAATATATAGGTCAAGAGCATATATAAGAGTTGTGGAGTCTCTTACAACCATTTTCAATAGTCTATTTTCAATAATTTAAATATAAAGATGAAAACAAAACAACAAATTTTTACCTAATATAAATTTAATCCTAATCCGCTGAGTTCAGCCTTTTCAAGCTGATAAGACTTTGTTTGGTCATCCTATCAAAAGACAAACACCTCACCTCCTTTGCATACCTATTGTCACTGCTACACACGGATCTTACCGACATAATAACCCTTGCAAAACATGATATGGTCATAAATATTAGCAATATCAAGTAAGAAAGTTATATATATATTATATAAAATTTGCAGTTGGTATCCTAAGCAAAATTGTATAAAATATACATACAACTAAAAACAAAACTTTGAGACTCTAGCTCTCAAGCCGTACGAGATATAATTTAATAACTGCGTCTCGATCGAAACAAATAAGAAAGCTCTAGTCGGGGTGCCCGACTAGGAGATACCCTGATCCCAGTCCTATTTGCGTTTATTAATATTTTCCATAGTTTGTATCGAGTATTCAAAAAAAAAAAAAAGAAAACAAATAAAAAACGACATTGCGTGACCAGGATTCGAACCCGGCCTCTTCATAATTAAAAAAAAAAGCAATAAAAAAAATTTCATCTGCACCGGTCTCGAAACCCTGGGCCTAGCTGCATACGAGCGCCGCCTCTACCAACGCAGCCACCGCACCTCTTGCAAGAAGTGTTGCAAATTTAAAGTTGAGAAGCAGTTGATAATTCAAGCAGTATTCAATCGCAGTTTCGATTCTTCGAATAGAAAAGAATACACGCATTTGAATGTATGTGTGCACACGCACAGGAAAAATGCGCTGCTGAGATGTGCCTTTGCAAATTGGCCAAACTTTTCGTTTAATAACTTCTGTTTTACTTAATGGATTTTAATGAAATTTTCAGCATATGATCTACATATCCTATTGGCTTGGTTGAGATGCAAACGCCTTCACATAATGGCCCTAGTTCCTAAACTTAAATTTTAAGAATTTGGGGAAATTTGGAGCCAAAATTGGTATCCAAAATCTAACAAAAATCAAAATTGCATAAAATATACATAAAACTAAATACAAAATTTGGAGGCTCTAGCTTTTAAGATGTTTGCGATATAAAATTTATTTACTTCATTTCAACAATGTTTTTATTCGATAACAATTAAATGCGACTAGTTATCGAATATTTGAAACAAACTTGACCTGCGCGTGCTATACACGGACCTACAAAAAAAATTTCATTTCTCTAGCTTTTATAGATGCTGAGATCCACGCGTTCACACATACGGACAGACGGACAGATGGACAGACGGACGGACGGACAGACGGACAGGCGGACGGACAGACAGACGAACAGAGCTCAATCGACTCGGTTGTCGTCCTGATCAAGATTATATATACTTTATGGGGTCTGCCACGCCTCTTTCTGCCTGTTACATACATTTGCACAAAACCTTTACACCCCCATTTTCAATGGGAACAGGGTATAAAAATAGAACGGCAAAAGTTATCGATTATTTGAAACAAACTTTTTATACGCGTGCCATACACGGACCTAATGCTGAGACGGACAAGCGGACAGACGGACATACAGGCTGACAAAAGGACGTGGCTAAATCGATTCGGCTTGTCGTCCTGATTGAGAAAATATATAATTAAAATATAAATTAAAAGTATATAATATTTATATATTTAAATATATAAGTTAACACAATTGATCAGCAGAACGTAAATATTGAAGCTGACCATGCATTCTCAGCATAAATGCTTACGACACCAGCTGTCTCAAGCGGACATTGCACAACAGCGGAAGCGTCCACGCGCAACAATGTTGCTGACCAGCGACCTAGTACTGTATGCAATGCCAGCGTTTTCAGGGCTTAGGGCTAGCTTCTATTATAAGAACGATTGTCAAATAGAGTTAGTTGATTTTTGGAAATAAAGAACGTCGGTCATCGCCACGGAATTCACAAAGTCTTCTCATTTTTCGAATAAGTGTTAACGCCGATACTCCGTACGCGCTTAACATAATTTCGAAACATTAAAATAAATAACTGGCGCCCAACGAAATCGAAAAAAAAAAAACCCAAACTCAATTAAACAAATATTCAAAAAATAATTTGTGAAAAAAACCCGAACTCAGTTAAACAAATATTCAAGAAATAATTTGTGAAAAAAAAAAAAAACCCGAACTCTATTAAGAAAATTTCCAACAAATAATTTGAAAAAAAACCCGAACTCAATCAAACAATTATTAAAAAAAATTTGTGAAAAAAAAAAACCCGAACTCAGTTAAACAAATATTCAACAAATAATTTGTGAAAAAAAACATTATAAATTACAACTAATACGCAACAAAAAAAAAGTTCACCGAGGGATTCATCAAACCATCAGCTCTACGAAAATAATATAAGAACATGTAAGTAGGGTGTTCAAAAAAAAAAAAAAAGAATAATAATAAATAAAAATTGTAAAAATACAATTCCAACTGTTCAACTAAATTTTAATTGTATAAAAAACACTACACATATCTTATTTGCATGTTATGAGTGATAGTGAGATACAAGATTTAGTAAAAAAATTTCAAAGTATAGATACAGGTGAAAAAATAAAAATGTCTTTATCTAACGAACAGTTAAGAGCGATTGTAGAAGGCGCAGTTACAAGCGCATTAAGAACCCAAAAAGAAAACTTTGATCAGAAATTACGCGACATAGAACAACGTATTGGTTCTGTACAAGTTAGCACTCCTGAAGTAGAAACATTTAGAGAGGCCGAGATCAGGGCAAGCGTCATTTGCAATGAAACCCTTGACATAATGAAATCCCTTCCAGAATTTGAAGGAAAAAATGAGACTTATGTATCATGGAGGAAAGCTGCGCATACCGCATACAAAGTATATGAAAAATATGATGGTAGCTCGAAACATTATCAAGCTTTAGGAATATTAAGAAACAAAATTAAAAACGCCGCCGATATGGTACTCTCTTCGTTTGACACTCCTCTGAATTTTAGGGCCATTATAAATCGGTTAGATTTCACGTACGCAGACAAAAGACCGATATACCTAATTGAACAAGAGCTGTCAACACTCCGTCAAGGAAATCTGACACTACTACAGTACTATGACGAAGTGGAGAAGAAACTGACTTTACTCATAAATAAGACAATCATGACCTATGACGCCAACGTTGCCTCTTCGTTAAATGAGAAATACAGGGCAGACGCTCTACGAGTATTCATCTCAGGTACCAGGAAAACTTTAAGTGATGTCCTATTCTCAGCTAGACCAACTGACCTTCCGTCTGCACTGGCATTAGCCCAAGAAGTCGAGTCTAATCATGACCGGTATATGTTTGCCACGAATTTTGCACGTAGTTTAGAAGAAAAGGCTCAGAGAACAGTACAAAAACAACAAGGCAGAGATAGGAACCTAACTCAAGACCCAAAATACAACCAGCCAGGGAAAAGCCCATATTATAAGAAACAAGAATTCTCACCACGACGAGAACAAGTTGAACCAATGGACGTTGATACATCCGCTCGCTTCGGACAGACGACCCAATACCAGCAAAACACGGCTCCCTCAAAGCAAACTCAGTGGTCGACTCAACAACAAAACACAAAATATGAAAGTTACAATAATCAGGGACAAGCAAACAAGAGACCAAATAATAGTAGTGCACGACTCACAGGACCGAAGCAGCAAAGAGTTAACTATTTAGAAGCAAGAGATTCAGAATATGAACAGGACGGTAATAAATATCGGACCATCGCAGAAAATGAGGCAGAAGACATTGAAGACGAATCCGACGAATATGACCAGGTCCATTTTTTAGACCTGGCTCCCTGCTACCGTTCATAGAAAGATCAGTGGCAGGAAGGACAATAAGATTACTTATAGATACAGGGGCCTCTAAAAACTATGTTAAACCATTAAAAGAATTAAAACATATTAAGCCAGTAGAAAAACCCTTTCGAGTAAAATCAATTCATGGCTATAACGATATTGACAGGAAGTGTACAATGCATCTTTTTAACACAAATACAACATTTTTCTTACTACCAAACCTTACGAAATTTGACGGTATAATTGGACTTGATTTACTAAACCAAAACAACGTTATATTAGATTTCAAAAACAAGAAGTTAATAACAAACTGCACTTCCGAGACTATTAAATTTCTAAAATGCCCAGCCGTAAATTTTACGGATGTCAAAGAAATAGAAACCCCTCAAGCCATAACGACAAACTTTCAAACAATGCTCAAGAAACGAACAGGAGTCTTTGCGGAACCAAATGAGGCACTCCCGTATAATACCAACATCATTGCCACCATTAGAACAGAAAATGAGGATCCCATATATTCCAAACTATACCCATACCCAATGGGCGTATCGGAATTCGTAAACGCAGAAACTCAAGACCTGTTAAAAAACGGTATAATACGTCCATCTCGTTCACCGTACAATAACCCCGTTTGGGTTGTAGATAAAAAAGGTACTGATGAACAGGGAAGGAAAAAGAAGCGTTTAGTCATAGACTTCAGAAAACTTAACCAAAAAACAATAGACGACAAATATCCAATCCCCAATATTGCCTCTATCTTATCCAACTTAGGAACAGCAAGGTATTTTACAACCCTAGATCTGAAATCCGGATTTCACCAGATCTTACTTGCTGAAAAGGACAGAGAAAAGACAGCCTTTTCTATAGGAAGTGGAAAGTATGAGTTTTGCAGGCTCCCTTTTGGCTTGAAAAATGCACCCAGTATTTTTCAAAGAGCCATTGACGATGTGCTCAGAGAGCAAATCGGAAAATCTTGTTATGTTTACGTCGACGACGTAATAATTTTTTCTG